ATCTTATACATATTTTTCATAATTATTTTCGTACGTAATTCATTCAATATACATCATTCATTCATTCAATCATTGAATTATTCATGCATGTATGCGTTCATTCATTCACGCATTCATTCATTCATTCAATCAATCAATGCATTCCTTCTCCTGTCCCATTTTGCAGCTGGATACAACTACCACGGCACGGAGATGATGTACTCTGGCATCGCGGGAAACGCCCTGGAGGCTTACATCTTCACAGGAGTCGTCTACTACCAGAGACTCAGGCACATGGTGCTCGATAAGTGGCAGGTAGGTTGGTTGGCTGGTTGGCTGATTGGTTGGTTGGCTGATTTATTAATTGATTGATTGAGTTGTTGATTGAATAATTGATTGATTGATTGATTGATTGGTTGTTTGTTTGATTGATTGAATGACAAACTGATTGATTGACTGATTGATTTGTTGGTTGTTTGATTGATTGATTGATTGATTGATTGATTGATTGATTGATTGATTGATTGATTGATTGATTGATTAATTGATTGACAGGTTCGATCGACTGGGCCAGTTGACAGCATAACCCAGCAACCAATTGGAGGCAGGAAGAGAGGTGGTGGAGTGAGGTTCGGTGAGATGGAGAGAGACGCCCTCATAGCTCACGGTTGCTCATTTTTACTACAAGATAGACTTATGCATTGTTCAGATGGAGTTGAGGTTGGTTGGTTGGCTGGTTGATTGATTGGTTGGATGGTTGGCTGGTTTGTTAGTTAGTTTTTTGATTAGTCTACGTTGTTTGAGGATGAAGATTATTTTTATTGATCGTAAGACGGAAGCTCTTAATTTCAACAGTTGTGTCACGATATTAAAAACTTTTTTTTACAATTAAACTTACATGTAAAAATGACAAAATAAGTCTTATAAATGATTTTTGCTATCGGTGAATGAGTTTCTCATTTACACTGCATAATATAAATGATGTCATCACCACGACCGCCACTACCACCACACAGATGGCAGTATGCAGCGGGTGTGGCAGCCTCATCTCCTCCATCTACGGACCGCCCGAGTATAGCGACATGGAGCAAAGTGATTGGTCGTGGAAATGTCTCGTCTGCTCGGCCAGCAAAAAGTCAGGCAACAACGCCGACAGCGAAAACGCCGAAAAATGTAATAATGAAGAGAGTGGCGGTTTTGCGGCTGAAGTCGGTACCGAGAAGAACGCAACTTCAAGCGCCATCGGAGTCGTGTATGCTCCATCTGTTTTCAGATACATGACTTCCCTACTTGCTTCTGTTAATGTTAAGGTCAAGTTGGATGTAAGGCAACAATAAACCCCTTATGCACCGATTGTATTAGCGCGAACGTTTCTACACCATCTGTATTTATTTGTTATGTCATGCCTATGTATATACCATTTCTGTATGTTTTTTATATATGGCTGTACGTTGTTGTGCCATTATGCCAGTGTATATAGTTCATTTACATTGTGACACTCGTGTATAACGTTTGTATGCTATTTGTATTATCAGTCAGCTGTATGTATTAAGCGTACGCTTGCGTTTGCACGTTCGTTTTTTCGGCGGTTTGACTGCAGGGTGTTATATTTGCCTTATTGAATGTATGCTTGTTAGGTACACTTTTGATCTGGATTGGCGTTGCGTGTAAAGTATGTTGTTCGTGTGCGTGTATGTGTTTGTATGCGTGCGTGTGTGCGTATGTGTGTGTGATGAATGCGTGTGTTTGCTTACTAATAGTTACTTCACATGCTGAATTCTTGTGTGCCTTAGAAATTGTCATTTGCTTTATAATGGGATATTTGTTTAAGATGACGTGCAATGTCATGCTTGTCACTACTTTTGAAGTGTTGCTATGCTTTTGTTGTCGATGTTGATTTGTGTCTTCGGTGTTGTTAATGTTTTATGTTGATATGTTTTGTTGAAGTTGGTGTTGCCATTAATGTTGTTGCTGTTGTTGTTTATTTGTTGTAATGCATTTTCATTAGACTAATGTTAACTGATAACCTTGAAAATTACTATTGATTCCACCGAGAATGTTAATGCTTGCTCATGTGGGTTGATCATCATGATTGCATGCTGATGTTCTAATGTAAGCTAATGCTTCCGAATGTTCCGATGTTTTAAACATCCTTCTTTGTGGTGGTGAAGACGATGATTAGAATAATAAAAATAAAAAATGATAATAAAAATGATAATACGGACGAAGATATCGAATAGATGGAACAAAGGAATGAATGAATGGATGGATGCACTAATGATTGATTGATTGAATTAATTAATGAATAAATGAAATTTTTCAACTCAGTTGAATATTATTCTTTATTTTATTACCAATAGGTATGTATATTTATTTTAATGCAATAAAAGTTATTCGTAAACGAATTATTTAGTTTTGAATATTGTACATTAACTGCACACATCAGAATTTTATGCGTTTGTAATTTAAAATTTAAGTTCAGGGTTTAATAAAAATAATTTGTCGACAGTGGAGCATCAAACGCTGAGCATTTGATGTTCGCAGCGCAAAGTCTTTTTTTTCAACGCATACCACTTCCACAATCAAACTTTGATGACGTTCGTTAATGGTGGTTGATGACGTTGTTGTTGTTGATGTCGCTACCGTCATCATTCGGCGACATTTCAACGCAATATTCGAATCTAGTTGAATGACTGACCGACTTGTTCGGCTGTTTTTGGTCCATCGTCATATTTGGACCCTGATTGGTTCGTTCCACCCGGATTGAGGTCACCTTCGTCTTTGTGATGCTGTAGTTCTCAGCGGTAAAATAAATTCTCGCGAAACGATTGGCTGGGAAGAGGCTTGTGGTAGGGGATATCTTTTTGCTAGACCATTTGCGGGAAGGATCGGTTGGACTAACCAGGGATAACTTCAGTTTTAGATGTTGAGGTAGATAATCACCTGCGAATTAATTAAGGTTAGATCTAGAATGTGGACTTTAGCCCGTGTGTTTGGTGTGTGTACGCGTGTGTATGTGTGTGTGATAGTGAGTGTTATTTTGTTAGAGTGCACTAAATGAATATTTACGACGGGCTTATTTAACGCGCGACCGAAATGTGGTAGAAAAATTGAAAAAAATTGTTGCTTGTTAGGAAAGCTGAAGAGGAAAAAAACTGTTCTGTGAAGAGAACGAAGCAAGCAAAGGAAGAAGATGTGTGCTGCATTGTACCTTCACATACAGGCATACACACGTACCTACACATATTCATGCTTACATGCATACAATGAACATCTGTATCTTCATGCAAATACACAAAACAACCATACATATTTTTGAAAGGTTATAACATCGATTGCCTTTCTTGAATTGATAGTTTTTTTACAACAATGGTTGGCCAAAAACTATCGAATAATATAATTGGTAAATGTTCTGAGGGGCATAAATTTTGTATGTCAAAAAAAAGATTTTCTAGATTTAAATCGATTATTTCAATTTTCCGATTTACAACACGCAAATGTATTCTTATGCTCTTTCTTTTAAAAACAAAATGTCATTCGTAGCTTAAGTGAGAAATAGTCAATCAAGAATAATACAATAAGAATAACTGTTTTTTTTCAATTGACAACGAAAAATTAAATGTTTTCTTTTTAGCAGAATTCAGTCTTTTTATTTTTCGAGGCCAAAAATGAAGGCGATAAATTAAAAAAAGTGCGAGACGAAAAAAGAACCAGAAGGAAGCAGGAGGTTGCTTAAGTTGCTTAGTGATATCGATTCATCGGTGGTGGTTCATTTTTATGGCTAACATTCTGTCCGCTCTTATTTGCCTGTGCATGTTCCGGCTACTATATTTCTATATTCTGTGCGTTCTAGCACAAATTACTTTTATCACACTCATACATATACACTCTCAAACACATACACAACCACACGCACATAAATAAGTTTACGCATATACACCAGATACGTATACACATTACACGTACATACATAAATATGTATACACACACATTCACACGCACATTCATATGTGCACACACATACACATAACACTCAAACGCATGTCATTGTACGGTACAAACATACAGCTATGTTACATCCTTACATCCGATGTTTGCAAATGCATATTGTACGATCAGCATGACATTCTGAAGGATTGTTTGCTCGTGCCACTACCAATGCCCCATGCATGCCTGGGTGTGTGCCTTTTATTTCAATATTAGTGCATGATGGGCGGCTATTAATTTGTAATTGTTCATTAGTTAGAAGCATTTTTTTAAAGTTGGATAACTTAACTTGGTTGGAAAGTTATAAAAATAAAATCGATGTTTAAATTACACCTAAAATTGGGTAGCGTTAAATGAGGGACAAATTTAATTAATTCTACGTTCAATTTATTTGGAGAAGAATAATTTTTGTTTATTTTTTTATTCAATTTGTTTGAGTGCAGAATTACCACTGTTATTATACTTTTAATCGACATAAGGCTTTCATAAAAATTTCAAATTAATTCTATGTGCAAGCGTCCATATTCCACTCCTTTTATATTATTTTGTGATTATAATTTTGACTGTTTCTGTCTGTTTGTCTTGCTAGAGTGATGAAGGTTGATTAACATTTCAAACGTATCAAAACATTTCACACCGAGCCGAGAAGCAACCAGCATTGAGATTGACACACCCGCATACATTTTCTATTTCAACCTGTCACTTGTCTCGTTAAGATTTCAAAGAAATCCTCACAAGATAATAAATCACGGTGGTCGGTCTTTACGCAAATATAAAAATCTGGCAAAAAAACACAAGAATGAATAGATATCAAGTGCAGTAAAAATTAGGAAAAAATAAATTATTTTGTCCCGGAAAAAATGTGGCGATGAGTCAACTTGCACATGATACTTTGCTGACATTTTCGCATTATGCTTCCTTTTCAAATGCAATACAAATTAAATATGTCACTAAAGTATTTAGCCAATTGTCAACATTTTCAACATTTTTATTTCTAATTGATCACTTTTCATCGGATGGGCAATTTTTATTTTTTTTAAATCTTAAATCAACTTTTTTTTTAATACTCCAAAAGTATTTCTTATATATTACAATAAATATTTTGTTGGTTCAAAAATGTATTAATCTTAACTAAACTACTTTCACACAAACACATACATCTTGTCCATATTACCCTACACTATATGAAAAGACAACGCTTATACGGAAATGGGACATTCGATTAATTGCTTAATTTCTGTACGAAGTTGTGTTATGTCCTTGTTTGTAGAGGTGAGGACAAGCAGGCTGGCAAACATGCACGCAAATGTTCTTTGGTTACAACACACTACTTACACACAAACACATACATACATACGTACGTACATACAGAGACATGCAGAGACATACAGAGACATACATACGTACATACATACATACATACATACATACATACATACATACATACATACATACATACATACATACATACATATACACATACAAACACACACGTATATGCATTGCATACATATACACGCTTCACTAAATTGTGCTATAAATAATATTTTGATTGATTGCTTTTGTCCTATCTTTTTACACGTGCACTGCACTGTACATGTATTCAACGTGTTTCTTGGAAATAATAGCGGTAGTATTTTTCATTAGTGTATTAGTGATTGTTCTGTTGAAGATGTTGCGATAATTACAAGTGAAAAAAACTGTTACTGATGTCGTTACAAAGTTGGAATATTTTATTACGTAGCATTAGTAATGTTGCTAAAGGTTATAAATGCTAAAGGTGCTAAACGTTGTCCTATGCCTTCAAATGTTTGAGAATTTGTGTATGTGTATGTATGTATGTTTGTACATGTGTGTGTGTGAGAAAGAAAGAGTGTGTGTATGTGTGATGTGTGTGAGTGTGACAAGCGTTTTTTCTGAGTATGTATGTATTAATTTAGCGTAGGTCTACGTACTTAATGACTATATTTATAAGCGAATGTGTTCATCCCCGTGTTTTATGCATAGTTGGACATGTATGCAATGTTTTCATGTATTCACGTATGTTGTGTGGCTTTTTTATGAAGAAATTTATGTGCATGCGATAAAAAGTCTTCGGTAGAATTGGAATGTTGTATGCTGTGTGTTGTATTGTATGGGTTGCAACTTGCAATGCATATTGAGCCAGATTCTCATAAAGAGTAGCAAGCTTTTAGTTCATTTCCCCGAGATTGCTCGAATGTTGCAACATTGCACGCACATACGCGCATACTCATATACAAACCAATAAACAAACATGCATACATACATACAAACATGCATACAAACAAACAAACATACATACATGCATACATACATACACGAACGTAGTGCGTTATACATTTATATTTGTTTTTAGGAGTGGAGTGAGTTTAAGTATTTGCTCCAAGCACAACATTTCATTTACATTTTTTCTATCTTTCTTTCTTTCTTTCATTCATTCTTTTTTCTATCTTCTTTTCTTTTTTCTCTATCTTATCGTAAATAAATAATTATTTATGTATACATTTATATTATTTAAATAAATAAATAAATAATTTACGTTTAAAATATGCTTTAAACTTTAAAGTTAATTTAATACAGTCTGCGAATTGGTTCAATTAAAATTGATCCATTCGAATATTTTAAACTGGAAATTTTTAAATCTAATTAAAAATTTTATTTGAAAATTTAATCAGATTCAATTTTAGTTGTTTAAAAGTTTTTTCAATGAATAACTTTTTCAGTTGAAATTTTATTCATTCATCAAAACCACTCTCAATCTCCTACCTTTCGATTTGTGAAATTTGTTCTTAATTTAAAAAGTACTGATTTGAAAGCAAATACTTTTTATTTCAATTTTTAATCAAAATTTTTCAAAATTTTTTTTCACGGGAAATTCAACTCTTCCATTTGGCAGCCGTATATTAGTTATACATACAGTTATTATACAAACTATCCGTCAAATGCATCTCACAAATGTGAATCGCAAGCCCATCCGTTTCAAATATTCAACACCTGGGAAGATCGAAAAAATCACACCTCCCATTTGAAGTTTTGTCATTTTATTTCAATTTACTGATTGGCTAACTATGATTGAATCAACTTTTATTTATATCTGCTCGTTAAATGTAGGCGCAACAATTGGTGAAACAAATTATCATCTTTTTAAAGAATAATAAAAAAATTAATATTTCACCTTAAAACTTAAAAAAAGCATTAGCTTACGATCGTTTAAATTCAAATATATTTATTTATTTTTATCTTAGACATAAAATAACGAGAGAATTACCAATTTCAACACGGAGTTTGCGTGCACAAATATCTGGTACGTACGTACGTACGAAAGCATGCACGCTTATCTCGCGTGCACAAAGCGTGTGTACGGGTACTCGTACCCCGATGTGCAATGAATGCATCGGTAGCATATTGATCTAATTCTTCTCTAGGCATAAATTTTATTGTAATGCGTTGGCTCATTACAAAGTGATTTTTCGGTGTTGAATAAAAAGTGTGATAAGGATGTTTTACTGTTTATTAGAGAAAAATTGTATTGAAGCTACTAACTTTTGCTGTCCATATTTCACAACAAAATATATCTCTAAACCTCTTTTACTCTTTTTTCTTGAGCAATTCTACCTTAAATTTCACCTCATAATTCTATGAACTATAAATAAAAAAATATCGTTAATATTTGTTTATAACTTTAAAATATTGATGATAAAAATTTACTCTCACATTTTTTTAAATATCACACGATAAAGTTTGTCTTCCACGGACGATTTCAAACTCGGTTGCACTTTCAAGGATGAACACCAAGCAATGCATTTTAAATTTTCGTTATGTTGTGCAGTCAGTCAGCCAGTCAGTTGGAAACAACAAAATTCCTGCTGTACACTTGAAGGTCGTCGCAAACGTACACTTGCTTGCACAAAAGATACAAGAAACTGAATGTTATAGTCTCGTACGGAGAGTGTACAACAGAAGAGTTTACAAGAAAGTGTGCAGTAATGTGTACGGTAGAAATGGCATGTGTTGTGTAGAACGTTTTTAATGATGTGTCTTGTAACTTTACTAGGCAGCATTAGTCGGACAGCATTCATTGTCGAGACGGGAGCTAATGATTCGATTACCTTGGCTCATTTTATATTCAATTGTCAATTGCTTATTTTATTTACTACTTGCTTATTTCTGCTTGACTTGTGTTTATGGGTTTATTTTTCTGTTTCTTTCTAATTTTTTGGTCTACTTTATTTTTAGAAAAAAGCAAATCATCACTGAGGTGTGAATGGAAGTGTCTGAAGAATTGTCGCCAGGGCTTCAACAATTTTTTTTAATCATTTTAATTTTATAAAACTAATTCAATTGCGTGGAACAAAGAAGCTTTCAAATCCACTAACTAAATCCATTGAGTAAAAATTGTGCAATGTAGCATCGGCGGATAAGCCAGCGTGTGCGTTAACTTGGTGGAATTATTTGAGGAGCACTTTCAACGGTCGTCACCGCGTTAAACAACCATCATGCGGCATTACTGCATCGCTAAAGAACAGCCCACCTCACTCACTCACTCACCACACAGGTCATCATCAAAACATAAAGAAAAGAAAGTTGGATGGAGGAAGCAAAATAAAAATTGAAAAACATATCGAGAAAAATAAACGTGCAAATCAAATTGCAAATTAAAAATGAAACAGGAAAGAGAAAGAAAGAGGAGGAGTTGAAGAGGAGTAAGAGAAAGATTAAGGAATAGGATAGGAGCAAAGAAAAACAATCAATTTAAAATTGATGTCAGATGAAAAGAAACAAATGGCATGAAAATATTCATCACGTGATTAAAAAAATCAACAGGTCACAATGTTAACATGCTTTAATGTCTGGAAAATTATATTAATTGCATGCTGTGTACTTTATACAGTTTTCCAGAAAGAAGGAATGTTTGAAAATTTTATTCACTTATGGAGAAAATGTCCTTTAAATTATTTGAATAAGCCATTACTTATTTTAATATACTTGTCTTCAAATAGCAAACACACATTAAATACGAATGAAAAAACTGCAGAAAAAAAATTATATTTAGTTTGGATTAGGTTATAATTTGATTAGGAGAGACAATCAAAAACAGAGAACACATTTCAATTCAAATAGCAGTGGCTTGATGTGGCGTGGTTTGGTGTAACTTGGTGTTGTGAGGTTTTGGTTTTGTGTGGTGTAGAGTGAGGTGGTGAAGGTAAGCAGTCCGCTTTCTCCACATACTCGGTTCAAGCTAACTGACATTTTCATTACAACGAATTTGACTCGCGACCTGTAAGTCAGGGATTTCCGGGCATCTCTTATTTATCTGTTTAATGCTTGCTATTATAAGAATGCGTAAAAGTGAAATAAAATACCGACGCTGAAATTATTTGGTCAGTTGATGATGAACCAACAAATAGGTTGGCTTATTCATTGAACGCTTTCATTTGTTTTAATTTTAAACGAGGTATAAAATTGCTTGTGTGGAATGTTATCTTATCTTACATCAAAACAAATAAAAAATAATTGTTCTACATTTTTAAATGAAGAAAATTATTTAAAATAAAAATATAAAAACTTATTATGTTAATGTATCATTTATTGTGTATGCTGCCATGTTTTCATGCGTCTTTTTGAACATACCAGCATGTTAGTGTGCTTATTTTTGTCGATTTGTTAATGCTTTTTCTTGTTAAGTGCAAATAAGTTTTTGCACGCATACGTAAATGGGTTGGCCTGAGTTTGATTTACACGTTATGAAGTCCTCTCCAGAGGAGCCAGCAAGCATTCACGTGTGAGCAGCATGATATAAGACTGCAGCATGCCGCCGTTCATATGTTTCACATATTCACTATAAATTAATATAAAACAGCGTTTGATTTTTTTCAGGACAAGCGTTAGAATATTTACAATTGAGTCATGTTGTAAAAAGATTGAGAAAGATTGAAACTGAATAAACACAGCGTAAAATGAAATGAACAGATATAAGAAAATAATTTAGGCAATTTGCAGAAATGAGATGAAGTATAGAAAGTTGGATGGTTATTATTGCAGCGGGCGTGCATCTTCTTGGAAATGATCATTTAAAACGTCATTTGGACTTTCTTTTCAGTACGTCACGTACTGCCTACAAATTTTAACTGCAACCGCAATAAACAAACTTGAACACATTAACAATACATGATGTCAATTTTTAAAAAACAAACAAAAAAAACAAGAAAGAACCTGCTTCGTTTTGTTGTGTCAAACTACCGACAAACCAGTTGATTTGTTCGTCTGATTCGCAAAACCAGGCTTCGCCGCAAGTCACTTCAAGAAAATTAACATCAGTGCGTTCGTGTGAATTTAAAAAGACTTGCAACTTTTCAAAGCCCGTAACGGCAACACCAGCACTGCTACCGCCAACTCGATGCTTGCTGCTCGCGTTTCTACTGCATCTCATCTTCTTCAGTAACTCCATCCAGCTCTGCGCCACCGGGAGGCGAACGACGGTGCCAGTGCATTGTAGTCTCGGTATCAACTCGATGTGCAATCGAATCTTGGCGTTGTGTCGTGAAAGCATGTGAACGGCCACTTGCAGCGGTAAGTTCTCGTTTTGGATGTTTTTAGCTGAAGGCGAAAAAATCTTTAACCTGGCTAATTCAATTTTTCTGCCGATTATTTTGTTATCTTTTTTAATGCCGAATGTTTGCACTTTCAGTTCTCGTTTAGCAGAATATTCGTTAGAAACGTACGGTAAGTTAGTCACAACATCTCTAACTGTTACGAAACGTTCAGAGAGCGGATCATCTACGTTATTGTCGTCGTCCTCCTCAAAAATTTGGCTGAAATTTAACAAGTCATAACTCTCTTCTGAAGTCGATTTATCATTTTTTTCTTTGAATTGTTTAGAAGTTGATGATGGAGATGCATTGTTTTTGAGTCGTCTTCTATCGTTTAGGGCTATTGTTAATTTGAAAGGTGAATTTAAAAAAAATTGACTGTATATTTTTGTCCAAAGTTTTTTGTAAGCTAAATTAATGGAAAACCTACCCAAGTCAACAAAGCACTCATCAATAATTGCAATGTTAACTTGTTCGTTCTGGAATGTAACTTGTACGTCGTTAGAGAAGCCGCTACCCACGTTCTCCTCCTTATCCGAGCTGAAACGAGTGAACGATAACTGTTGAGTTAATGATTGAAACACACTACGCTTCGGAGATTTTTTAAACATTGTTTTACTGTCTCCATTAACAATTTTATTTCCATTTTGCAATTTCAAAGCTTCAGTTTCGTTTGAATTTACAGGAAAATAATTTTCGTCGGCATTTTTTCCATTAACATCACGTGATCTATTGTTAAATAAACAGTCTTCAAAAAGTTTTTTAAATTTTCTAATGGAGTTAAAATCTTCAGTTCCTATTTCTAGCTGTTTCTCACAATCTACAACATTTTCGACGTCGAGGGAAATCTTTGGAATGAAACTTTCCAGCCTTCTTATACCGGATGAGACGGTTGGAAAATATTTTCCGAAATCTGGCAAAACTCTTGAGAACCATGACATCGTACCAGTTTTTGCAGTAACGTTAATTTTTTCCCGAACCTTTGTTCGATAGACGGAAACAAACATGCACTTCAAATTGCTATCAAGTTTATCTTGGGTGAACGAAACATCAGACACAATCATATCGGTGTCTAAAGTGAGTCTGGCATAAATTTTATTAGGATCGTCATCTTTGACCAGCAATAATTGCGGCCATAAATTTTCATCATCTTTCGTTCCTGCGCAGCATTTAATAATTGTCGCTGCATTTTGTTGCAAAGAGCACGGTTGGAATATAACTGTAACCTCGGTCAGTTTATTTTCGCCACTACTGACGCCACCATCAGTTTGTACTTTCTTTGCAAACCATTTCGTTAGGACCGCTTCACTCTTAAGATCAATTAATTCAATGCCGTTATCGCTCGATTGACCACTCGTGTTAGAATGTTGCGATGACGTAGACGATGACGTCATCACAGTTTCTGGAGAGGTCAGAGGCGAATTAGAAGTGAGAGGAGATTCCTTGATCGATGAATTTTTTTCGTCATCCAGTGACGATGAGTAATTAGAGTCACAGTTTGGCATTTGTTCGACGTAACATTCCTCGTTGTCAGCCGCATCACTCCTTACTTGATCGCTCTGAGTTTCCATCTCCAAATTACTGTCATCACATCTATCATCGTCGTCGACGTCATTTTTGTAATTATTTAGATTATTTGAATAAGATGCAAACGCCTGATCGTGAAAGTCGTTCACTCGTTCGTTGTGTATATGAACTTGACAGCAAACGTCGTCATCTACAATTGTTTGCAATGGATCGAATACCTCGTTAGCATCCATGCCCAGCAAACCGTCGAGATCATCTTCATATCTGCCGTGCACTAAATCACGTGTACAATCAACCTCCCTGCTAATATCATGAACATCGTCATTCACGTCCATCCATGCGCCGCCAACCTCTTCATCATCATCTTCTTCTTTTTCTTCCTTACGGTGTATTTTATTCTGTGGAAAGAAACCTTCAGAGCAGCAGCTGTCGACAAAAATTGTGGCGAATGGGTCAAATAGAAGCTCTGATTGCGGCGATTCTAAAAATATTTGTGGCGAGTATGCGTCAAAGTTGCAGTAATTATTGATGTCATCTGATGATATTCTTGCTGATGTAATTGTGCTGCTTGCGTGTGTTGGTGAATTCTTTTCGATCAATGATGCTGAGAATCGTTCTCTGCTGTTGCGATACATTCCTGCTATTGTTTTCTTTCTGTCTCTATGTCTGTCTGTCTGTCTGTCTGCCTTGATGTCTGTCTGTCTGTCTCTCTGTCTGTCTGTCCGTCTGTCTGCCTTCTTGTCTGTCTTGTTTCTATTTTGTTTGCAATGTTTTACAAAATTTTTATTGTTGTTTTGTTGTTGACTTGTAGTTCTTTTATTTCTACTGTTTTTGTGCTTATTTTTAAATGGAATTGTTGCTGTAAGACTGTAATATTTCTATTAAAAATTTTTTTTGAAGAACACTTAGCTGTTTCATTTTTTACCATTTCTTCATCGATACTGGCGTTGTCATGTTGCAAGGGCCCAAATGATGAAATTTAATTTTTTTTACTGTTTATTGACGTTTTTTAGTTGTTTTCCATTCACTTTTTGTTGAGTTTTATTTGGCAATTTAATTTTTATAAGTTAACTACTTTTGCATGTTTTTAACTTTGGTCTTAATGATTTAGTTTGTTAAATTAAATGTTAATGAATTATTGGTTGGACTTGGCGTTGTTCGATTAAGCTGTTGTTTAGTTAGATTGTTGGTGAATATTGAGATGTTGGCCTGTTGGAGTCGAATTATGTTTGTTGTCGTTATTGTTATCTAAATGGTTTGTTGTTGTTGTTGTGTTGCTGTCATCGTTGTTCTCAGGTCCAGTTCTAACGTCTGTGTGTGTGTGGAAAATTTAAAGATAAGGTAACTGAAAATATTTACTACGATGACGTGAAGCACAATGAAAATGACAAATGACTGCTCGTTATCTCAGGCTCTTGTGCATTATTTGTTGAATTTTATATTAAGTCTAAATTTGTGTTGAAAAATAAATACGTATATCATCAGATCTTTAATTTTACATTAGTTTCTACGTGACGTTGGTTACAATTTTTCGCTTTCTTCTTATTTTAAGCGTTGTCTTAAATAAGAAATGCATACATTTTTATACCAATAGTCTTAAATAATAATTATATATTAATCGTAATATAATAATAATATTATTAATATTATAATAATTATAATTTTTATCATTTCCGTAGTTTTATTGTTTCAGCAAGAAGAGATACCATGACTGAAGAAGATGATTTCCCTGATGAATTTTTCACATGGGCAGTCCCTGAGAGATGAGAGGCAGGAATAAATAGAGTTTGTGTGTTCTCCAATGCATCGCATGTGCGAATTAAGTATGCATTACAGTGTATATTTATGTTTAATGTATATGTGTGTTATATGTATGTGTATATAAGTATGTGTGCAGTACTTAACTTGCTACAAGTACGTAAAATTTAAGTGATTCCAATTATGTATCGCGGTTATAACTCGTGCTTTTTTGAGTTAGCCTTCACGTCAATTTATTTCAGACACATTTGCGGGTTTCAAAATCACTTTTGATAATTGTATATATATAATAATTAATTTTGTTCTTTTTATTAATTATAACATCCATTTATTACGTTAATTTTTGTATATCAATAATATACTCAAGATAAAACTGAAAAGCAAAAAAATAAACTCCTAAACTCGTCATGTAACAAACATACACCTCCAGCTGAAGCCATGAAAATTCTGATTGTTAATATTTAGTATTCATACCTCGACGCCATACAAATCCATTCTTTTCTGATTCATGTCATTATTATTCAGCTGGATTTTTCTACTTTTTGCCACCTATCTCCTTACTTTATCACATATATATTTCCATTTATTTATATTATTATTTATATTATTATTTTATTTCTTTTGTTATTTTGAAATTCTGTCCAAATTCAATTATCCCTCATGCGAAATATATGTCGAGACAGAAGTCGACGTAATATTTGCACGTCAATTTTGTTTCAAAAAAAAGTAATTTAGAAAGTTTTCAAACAGGATTGAACAACAAAAAATAAATAACCTTAAAAAGTTAGATGAAATAATAAAATAAGTAAACTTAAAAAAATTAAAAACGGAAAATATACAGATCAAAAATAACGATCTTTGTTTGACAAGACCCTGAATAAAACAGTTCAGTTCTTTAAAAAAAATGGATGAACGCAGAGCAAGAAATATTTCGCCTCGAGCAAGAAAGAACATAAATCATTCAATAACCCGATTTTTACAGGTCGATATAGTAATAATGCTCTTAATTTTTTTTCTAATTCGATTTTAAATTTAATAACACAAAAATTTTTTCATAATTGAAATTATTGAAAAACTTATTTAAAACCCTACGAAAAAAATTTTCAAATTGCCCTGGGAAAACAATTATTTAACAGATATCAAAAAAAATAAAATGAACATCTACCAAATTGATTTTATTTAGGTAGATGATGAAATTGGTGATGATGCCGCGATGAGAAGGATGATGACGTTAAACTCGAAACATGTAAAGTGTGGTGGGCTTTAGAAAATCGAAAATAACAAAAGATTACCTACTCTGTGGGCATTGCTATAAATTATTATTAACGACATAAATGCATACTTTTCTGAAAAAACCATTACAAAACTGCTGCTGCTGTTTCGTCAACTGTGAATGAAGATTTGTGTCTACGTAAAAAAAATCATTCGTCAACAACTAAAAAATTATTATTTAAAATAATAAAAGTTTTTTAAAAAATAAATTCAGTTTTATCAAATTTAATATAGTGACATGAATGCAAATGACTATTCATATGTATTGGTCTTGACTCTACAAACATTTGATAAAATTAGATAGTTCACGATTGTAAGTTAAGGATTTGATATTCTTATTGCTATTCGTTTTTGTATTAGATAAAATTGTGAAATGCTTTTGTTCGTAGACTAGTGTTAATTGTGCGATACGGTTTAAATGTTTTTTGACAAAAATACAAAAAATAATCATTTTGATACTAACTTGTTATCCAGGTTTATAATTACTCAAAAGTTTTTAAAACTTTTTATATTAATTATTTCTAAAAATTAAACTATTCACAGAAACAAAACAACATTTCAGAGAAACTTTTTCAAACGTAAAGTTAAATTTGGAAACAACCTTAAACTTCAAAAATTCACATTTTCAAAAAATCATATAACGAAATAGTTTGAATCTTTAATTTGAAAGAAAAAATAAATATGTTGTTCCTAGATCCTAATACTGTGATCTTAAAAAACCTATTGTGTACGGACTTATTTCATTCAGATTGCCTTGCATGTTGTGAAGAACGCACGTTTGTTGTATGGAGATGTATGGGACTTCAAACACATACACCGCATTCTTTACGTGTCTGTCTTCTTCTCCGCTCTCCTCATTAAGTTTATTTATTCGAGGTGGTTGCTATTGTTTATGGATACGTTTATGGTTATGTTTATTGTCCTTGTATTGTAAATCAGTCTCATTTTCTTTTAGGTATGTTTTTACATTTCATGCGGATATATATGACTTTTAGTTTGGTCTATTCTATCTAACATCTTATATTTTCATAATGTATAAATAAGACTGATATTTTTATATAAATTTTGATTTAGTTTAGCTGTGTATACAACGTTTATAAAAGCAGAGCGCATAGTCGAACTATCATTAGCTGAATCAAACTGTAGCATTCAAAGGAATTTTTGTAGATGAATGAATGCATTGAAAACTACATCGCGGGGAACCTTAACAACCCTCTCCTGCTGAATTTCATTGGGAAACATGTACAATACACATGTATGCGTGCTTTTGTTTGTGTGCTAATTGCTGTAGGAGTGTGTACGCACATGTATGTACAATGTGTGTATATGTATGTATATCTATGTGTGTGTGTGTGTGTGTGTGTGTGTGTGTGTGTGTGTGTGTGTGTGTGTGTGTGTGTGTGTGTGTGTGTGGTGTGTGTGTTTTTGTTTATTTACCAAATTTCATATGTTCAAATTTGTTAACCTGATTCTTTACATTAAAATTATGAATGAAATTGATGGAAAATAAATCACATCGTTTATTTATTTATAAAAGTATTTTTATGTATTGTAAATTCGTTTGTCATTTTGGTTTGTGGTTGTTTTTCCAAGTGGTGGCCATCCCTACCTTCGATGTGGCCATCCCTATCCTCGATCGCCTTCGCCCTCACCACTGATGGCACAGCCCTGATGGGCAATTTTCTTTACTTAGCAGTCGCCACCCCCCTGCCGCTTTATGGCACAGGTTGGGTTTGAGGGGAGAAAAACAGAAACGGGTGGCGGTAAGTCGTTTTGGCGGGAAACAACCGACAGAGGAGATAAATACATTAAAAAAATAAATAAATTCATTTAAATGTTTTCAACTCTAACTTTCGAAAAGCAATTACGAAATTGTTTGCATAAAGTATTCAGAATTTTTTCTTTCGTGAAAAAACTTTTATTTGAAAACGAGAAGAAAAAACAAAACTTTCCGCTAAATTGTTTTGTCGGAAAATCAATAAAAAAAATAATTTCATTTATTTTTAAATTTAATACATCAATTCCTTTCGATCATTAAAAAATCATGAAAACTAAAAAACAAAAATTGAAAATTTTTTCATTGAACCGAGGTTTTCTAGTGAGCATCGCTTTCACTTGCTATCATCATCATCAATATCGTCATCGTAACCAGCAATGAAATAATCATTATCAACACTACCATCATAATCGTTATTTGTTTTAACAATCATCACAAAACTCGTCATCATTAATTTTGTCTATCGTCATCATCGTCATCATCATCATCATCCTTGTTATCATCATCGTCAAAAAAATTATCATCATCATCATTAGTAGCAGCAGAAGCAGCAGCAACAACGCCATTACATTAATTGAACTGAATAAATATTATCAACAAAGAGCTCTTTATCTTCTCTCAAAACTACTCATCATCATTGTCATCAATAAAAAAATTTGAAGAATTTCATCATCGCAGTCATCATCGTCATTCCTAGCCAGTTCATTAATTTTTCAACATCACCGTCACCAATTATGTCATCCTTGAAGAAATGCAATACGATGTATCGTCATCATCGTCGTCGTCATCACCACAATTATTTATTTCGATCATCATTTCCATGAAGATGACAGGATGACGTCATCTTCATCATGACGAGTGTGTACTCATAACATGGAGGTGGGTATCATTAGCGCTGCTGTGCCTGCCAATAACATCAGCAGCAGTACAATTCATCTCCATCTATCTATGATCATCATCATACTCTTCTTCATCATCATCATCAACATCATCATAATCACCGTCACCATCATCAACATCGTCATCATCCTCATAACCAACACCACCAACAACAACAGCATCATCATCATAACCATCATCATCATCTTCTTCATCATCATCATCATCATCATAACCATCATCATCATCTTCTTCATCATCATCATCATCATCATAACCATCATCATCATCATCTTCTTTTTCATCATCATCATCATCATCATAACCACCGTCATCACCAACATCATCATCGTTGTAGCTAGATTGATGAATAGCAAGCACTTTTTATGTCATTATAATTACATAGCATTGTTACATTCCTAAATTTTTCAAATAAAAAAATTTTTTACTTTCCTCTCTTTCCATTCATCCATTTTGTTTCATTTGTTTCATTTTATTTACCTTTTTTTTTATTTTTCATTCATTCGTTCGTTCGTTCTTCGTTTGTTCGTTCGTTCATTCATATATTCATATATTCATTTGTTCATTCATTCGTTCATTCATTTTGTACCGTTCTTTTTTATTCTATTTATTTATTATCTTTCTTACCACAAACTGATTTGAAAAAAGACTTGAAATGGAATGCTATCAATGACATGAACTTTAAATGGAAAAAATAAATAAAAATAATATAATAACAATAAAAAGAAGAAGAGGAGGGGGAAAAAAGTTAACAACAACAACAACAACAACAACAATAATAATAATAATAATAATAAAATAAATTAATTGATAAATAATTGTCATATAAATGATAATTTCATTAACAGTTATCATAACAGAATGCAACATCAACGACAAATTCATCATCAACAATCGGAACATTAACAAAAACTTCAACAACAACAACAACAACAATACAACAACAACAATAATAACAACAACCACAAAAACAATAGCAAACACATCATCACATCAATTTTAAACCATCAACTCGGTACGTTAAATAAATATGCTGACGCATTATGGAAAAAACTAATGTAAACATGCTGAAACTATATCATGACAATAAAACACTGCAATAAAATTTTGGTGCTATTGATGTTGTTATTACTAAAGTTGATGTTATTCGTGTTGTTAAAAATTTTGTTGTTTTTGCTGTAATTGTTGTATCTTTAATTTTTGTCATTGTTGTTGATATTAATGTTATTATATTAATATTACTGCCACTGTGTGTTTTGTGTTTATGTGTATGTATGCACGCGCGTGTGTATATGTGTGTGTGTTTGTGTGGTTTTTGTTTCTATGTGTATGTTTGCCACAGTGTACGTTTGCCACAGTGTGGTGTGTGTTTACACGTGTTTGTGTGTGTTGGTTTGTGAGTGTGTGTGTGTGTGTGTGTGTGTGTGTGTGTGTGTGAGGGTTTGTGTGTGCGTGCGTGATGTTATTAAAATTGAATAGAACAAAAGTAGGAATGCATGATGAAGGGGGGCAGAAAGTGATGGGGGTATAAAAAAATATAAAAATGCACAATGTATCGGTGCGTTCTAGACTGTTAATTTCATATGCTACGAAGCACACGCTATTTAGCGATCACCATCGTTATCAGCATCGTTATCATTCTCACGGAGCCATCATCATTATCAATACCACCTCTATCATCATAACTATCTTCAATAACATTACTATAACTATCATCATTGATATCATTATCATTATGATGATCATTAGCTCCATAGCCATCATTGTCATTAAATTTGTGTTTAAAATCGTCTTTATATCCTTCTTCGTCATCATTTTCTTATTACTTATCATCATCGTTACCATCATCGTCATCATCCTTATTGTCATTATCATCGTCGTCGTCATCATTAACGTTATCTTCGAAGTCGTCGTCGTCACAATCATCACCATAATTAAGACGCGGATCAAATTGCACGGAAAATTACACCTTAATTTAATGATCCCCGAAAAATTCCAATGACGATGATTACAACGTACAATGTGACAATAATAACAGCGTTTTATAATTCTGAAATGAAACAAACTTACAATAAAAGCATAACAATGATGAATATAATAATAGCAATTATATAATAATAATAATAATTAATATTTATAAAAAAAATTATATGAAGAACCTCGGCGAAACAACGTGCGCGCACTGTTCGCTTTTACAGGGCTCCCTCCATAGTTGAACAATGAACAATAATATTAAACAGTTTAACCAAAATTATGAAGTGCAGCGCTTCAATTTCAGTGAAAAGTATCGGTATCGAATATCGAGAGCTCTTCAATGTATCGGCGATAACCGTTACGTTACTTGTAATAAAAAGATACCAATGATACTGATGCCAAAAAGTATCAGCGAGCGCGATTCTATCAACGCAATACCGATACTTTGATAAAGTAACAACTCTGGTTGCTTGCTATCTATGTTGATGATGCTGAATATTTAAAACCGATAAATAAGAGAACGGTCTGAAATACTTAATGCTTATAATAACACAGCAAAATGATTTATGCGTTGACTTTCCACATATTGAACATTGTGCTGAACACGTAGGTACACACATATATAAACACGTACGTTCATACGCACATGCACACGTGTATACACGCACGCACTCCCTCTAATACAGGATTCATAAGTTCAACCAGAAATTTACTGACCGGCTTTATTCGCTGACCACTACAAAAATCAACTTCGTTGTCGTCGTTGCCGTCATTATTATGGGTTCACTCGTTTAATTAATTAATCATGGACACATGAATATTTTGTATATCTCAAACGTACAAGCGGTTCAACATCAAAATGTTACAATGAATTCCTGTCTATCTTATAATCATCATCACTCATCTTCACCATCATAATCATCATTTTAATCTAGATTCATTTATTCTGCACTTAAATAGTTTTTATGCTTTGAATGTTGTGCACGCCGATTTGTTGTACACGCCGATTTGTTGTACACACCGATCTGTTGTACACGCCGATCTGTTGTACACGCCGATTTGTTGTGCACTTATTTTAAACGAAATTCCCATCGTGTATACGTTGAAAAGCATAAAACGGAATGGCGGAGTATAAATAGATGGCAGGTAAAGCTTACATACGTATGTTTGTACGTTACGTGTATATTCCCCTCTCCTCTCATCTCGGCTCGGCTCTGCTCGTGTGTATGCACGTACACGTACACGTGTAAGCCTGTTAATTCTATTTGCGACGATTTCAAGCACCCTCACTGAATTCAGGTAATGCATTAATAACAACAACTGCAATGACTACGACAATAATAAAATTACAAATAACCTTGTTATAATAATAATAAGTGAAAGAACAAGCAGGAGAATTTGGAAATGGAAGGAAAAGATAATAGTGGGCAGAAACATTCTTTCTCGTTAGCTTATAGACTCAGATTTTGTTTACAAACACGTTTTTTTTATGTTAAAGATTTAACTGGATTGCATGAACAGTGTCGCAAAACTGAAATTAATGTGTGCGTGTATGCGTGTGTGCGTGTGTGCGTGTGTGTGTGTGTGTGTGTGTGTGTGTGTGTGTGTGTGTGTGTGTGTGTGTGTGTGTGTACATGTGGGTGATTTCTAACATTTATCTTTGCTGTATGGTGTGTGTTTACTTAGAACATGTTCATGTTGGTGTGTCTATCTGTCTGTGTGTGTTTGCATTGAACATGTTGATGAACAAGCAACAGGATACATGCACCAGCAAAACTTTTATTAACTGAGCATACCTGTTTGCACAAAAATTCAAGTAGTTTGTAGTAGTATTGATAGTTTTGATTATTTAGCGTTGAATAAGAGAAGTTTGGTTTATTCAGAATTTTCTGTCATTATGTTACACAAATTGAACAATAAAAAAGGTAACTGTCATTATGTATGGCGCATGCGTTGGTGCACTCACGTGTCGATTATTGCAATAGTTTATTTTATGGACTCCCGGCTAGATCCATCAAAATTCTGCAATCGATACAAAACCGTACTGCCTGGATTGTGGCTGGATGTCGATGGTATGATCATGCCACACCGATCCTGAGTGATTTGCATTGGTTGCACATAAATAAAAGAATTGTTTTTAAAATCTCTATCTTGTAATTCTTGTAATTCCTCATGGCTCCAAAATATTTATCAGATAAACTGAAATAAAAAACGTCGACCGCATCTGGTGTGCGTCTGAGGTCTGACAATTCGAACATTCTTGTAATTCCTCATGGACAGCTAAAGATTGGATCGCGTGATTTTGCTGTGTCAGGCCCTGTCATATGGAACGGCTTGCCGTCAGCCCTCAGAATGCCTGGAATGAACATTGCAGAATTTAAAAGACAATTAAAGACATATCTTTTTTAATTATAGTTCATTCAATTCTTTTCATTCTTGCTATTTTGGTTTTAATATTAGTTATAATTTGATAGCGTTTGTGAAAACTGCTATAACGAACGCTATATTAAGTTTTCTCTTAATAATAAAAATATATATATATATATATAGCACATATATAGAATATAACATTTACATTTAACATTTATGTTATATTCTATATATTTTTATATGTGATATATAGAATAATTGTAGTGTCATTGGTCAATTGAAGTTTTGACAATCTTTTTTATTCTATGTTTCGGCGTTAACGATAATATACGGGCTGTAAATAATAAATTTCGTTCGTGACCACGTGTCGAAAATACCGTTAAAAATTTTACTTCGGTTTGTATTTTGAAAGAAGTTTGCTGATTGATGGATGACGAAAAAATAAATGCGTATAGAAACATTCTATGCATGTTACTTTCAACTGTAGAAAAAGATTTCGAAGGAAGAGAAGAAGGCGTCAAAACGTACCAATGGCTATCAGAATGGTTCAAACATAGCGCAGACAAAGGTTTCGATGGTGGCTTTCAATTATGGAAAAGTGACTCGTTGAAAGAAAGTGACGAGTTGTTTATTCTTTTGAGAGAATGCCTACTAAGTCAAAGATGGAAAGATGCACTGGAAACTATGAAGGCAATCTCATTGACCCCGTCCTATGATGATCACTACACAATGTTTAGAGTTGGCTTAGAAATTCTTTACCAGTTAGAGGGTATTGGTTCAGAAATAGTAGAAAACTTTATATCACTTATGCATGAAAAACCTGCTCGAGGCATAAAGTTCAAAGAAATCAATCTCGACTGCTTTCTGTTCAAACTAGCTGGTCAGTTTCCTGAGGGTATAAATGTAGAAAATTTTGGGTCCCTTATATTTTCAGATGCTGCTTTTTCACTCACTCAAAAATTTAAAATTGGTGGAAGATCTGTTGGCCCACCAGCATCGGCTAATGAAAAGCAAAATTTGTTACTAAGTGTTTTCAATGTTGGCTTATCTTTATATGTTAAATGGTTGTTAACAAGACTTGAAATAGACAAATTCAGCATGGAACCAGCAATGTCCAGCATGGAAGAGGAAGAAAAATCTGATTTTGTTCAAATGCTGAACAACCAAGCCAAGAAGGCTCTTCTCTCGTTTGAAAACTGCAAATGGCATGATGGTGTGTGGGACTGCTTCATTGACAAGCATGTAGAAATATTAGAACATCAGGCTATAATACTAAATGACAAAGATTACATTTTAGCAGCCGAAACAATCCTTAAAAATTATTCAAACAAACAGCCTAATAATCCTAACAGCTGTAAGTTTTTATATTATTTTTATAAAAAACATGTAGATGTTTTTCCATCAAAGAATTCATCAGATGCTTTGAAAAGAGTGTGTGAATTAGTTCCATCAGATCCACTGGTGCTAAATTTGGTACTCTCAGATGTTGACACAGAAGATTCCAGCTTATATAAGGCAGACCTTCTCTTCAATTATCTTGATTTTGCTACTTGCAAGGATGATGAAAAAGCATGGTTTCTTCTCACAGATTTGCTTGTCAAGAATCTCATCAATGACAAGACAAAACTAATGTACAAAAGTTTCGTGAACACCATCCAGACTTGTTGGTTATACAGGGTAGATTGGTGGCCACAATATCATTTTGTACTTTCAAATGATATTGTACATAAGCGTCGAACTCAACCTAATGAATTGGAGGTTTTAAAATGTTGTGTGTACTATGTCTTAGCAGGACGAAAAAATAGCTATTATAAAAAAATTAAAAAATTGTTAAAACAAACATTTGATAAACCTGTTAGCTATGATATGTTTATTAAAATTAAATCTGTAAATATTTGTATATCAGAATTGAATGTAGCTTTATAATTCTTAAAACCTTTGCATTTTTGATTTTTGTAAATATATATATATGTACCTCTCTCATTTGCAAAGTTTTTATAATGTTTTATTTGAATTTTTTAATACAAAAACACCAAATCAATTTTGTCTTGCTTGTAGTTAGTTGCGGATTAATTATTTTTAGTCTATGTAATGCAGCTCTGTCAAAATGCAGAACTGATTACACGTTGGTGACAGTCTTTTGTGCTCTTTTTTTCTCCAACGTCAATGTGCAATGTAATTTTCATTGAGAAAGTGCAATGCTTTATTGTGTTGAGTTTTCCTAATGATAAAGATTCAACCGGCGCAAGTATACTGTACAAAAACAGGAGACTAATGAGCCCTAACGAGCGACTGAAATGAATAATGTGGTCAACAGCAAAACATAATATTCATGGAATTCAATGGATATATGATAATTTTATAAGATTTGTAGAATCTAGTGTGATATTTTTTAACTAAGATATGTGATAACTTTATAAGAATCTGAGAATTCCGTGGAATAAATTTAATGGGGTATGTAATAACGTCATAAGATTCGTGGGGTTACATAGGATATGTGATGACTTGAAGTTTGTGAAACTGAAAATTAATGGAGATGTGTGATGACTGGACGGCGCGTGGTTTTGTTGGAAGCATTTTGTTGGATAGTTTTGTAAAGTGTTTGCTGTTACTTATCTTGATCTAACTGTGGATGGATAGCGTCAACGAAGACAGATATTCCACGAAAAAAGTTGGAAGGGTCATGCAGATCGTCTAACGGAAAACAAATAATAAAATACAATTCGTCATATTCGTGAATTTGCTTCTGCACTGGATCGATTTCTCGTACTATCACGTTTAGATTATTTTAATTCTCTTCTCTACGGTCTTTCTTCCTACCTTTTAACTTTACTTCAAAAAGCTTAAAATAGAGTTGCAAAAGTTGTTTTTAATATTAGTAATTTATTTTCCAGCACAGATTCACTCATTCAACTACATTGGTTACCAGGACGTCAACGCATTATATTTAAACTCGCAGTCCTCATTACTTAATACATCTCAGCCATCATATCTTCATCAACTTATATCGCGTCGTTCATCAATTCGTCAAATTCGTTCGTCTTCATATACTCAGCTGCATCAACCTGTCAGCAATTCATCAGTTGTCAACAAATGTTTTACGTACAGCTCTTTTTCCATATGGAATGGTTTGCCGCCATTATTCGTCAACAACAAACCATCAAACTTTTTAGGAAACGATTAAAAGTCATTGTTCATTAAAGCGTCCCTGAAGCTATTCATAGGACGCGATATAAATTAATAATAATGGACAAAATTAAGCGACACAAAAGTTGTCATTTATATGTCCATGGTTTTTTTTATGGATATTATATCCTATCCATGGTTTCTCTTCCTCGCTACTTTTAGTTTTTCAAGAAACAAAAGCTAGCGGCGTGAGTTTTTTAATTCAGAGTGCGATTAGGGACTTTTGGTTTTTTATTTTTCTTAAATTTTTTTTGATTGATTTTAGCTTTTTGAATCTCATTTTTGATTCGTGTTGAACTGATTTTAAATTTTAATGAATGTTGTAAAAACGGCGTGCATGCTAGCTTTGCTACCTAGCGACCAAGACGCAAACAACATCATACATGTACATACAATACAACATATATACTCGTCAATACAATGAATAAATTGTTTTCAATTAGAAATTAAATTCTGCTGAAATCTGACGAAATCATGGACTATCAGTCATTATAATTGTATGCTGAAAAGGTTAAAAATGGTTGCTTTTGCAATGAGAAGTTTATTTATTTATTTTATTTGCCGAAAAAATTAATTTTTAATTCTAATTAATTTAATTGAATAATTCACATTTAGTGACTAAATTTTAGTTAAATTTGATTAGATTTTTACTTTTTTTATTTAATTTTAAAAGATCTAAAATTTTAAAGCTTTGTATTTTTAATTATTAATTTTTATTTTTCAGTGAAATTTAGATTTACCATTAGATTAGTGGAAGGCTCTTCTCAACAAAACAACAGTGAACAAGCATTAACAACAAACAAACCAAAGCTTTATTATTAATTGTTAATTTCACCAAAATTTGGAATGGGGAGATCTGATTGTGAAATGACATCATCATTGTCAGATGATGACTTAGATTATAACAGCATAGCCTCCATTGAAGACGAGGATGAAGATGAAGATGCTGAAGTTTATTCACTAGATGATGGAGTGGCTGATCTGAATAAAAAGTAGGTCACTTTATTTTTAACATCTTGAGATTTGGGCTGAGTTTTGTTTTTATCTATCGTTAATTAATGTGTTCTTTAAAAATTTAAGATCAAAGTCATCGAGCCCTGCAATATTTTGGTCTGGTCGGTCGAAGAAAGTTCCAATTTTTTTATTCAAGGCAGATGCTCTTGGTTGTAATTTCACTGAACACAAATCTATAGCCAGTTAGTATTTACATTTTATTTAAAATTTGTGTTTGATTTTGCACTATCAATTTTGGTTTTGATTATTTATCAGATTAGCTATTATTTATGTTAAAAACTTAATCACCATAATCATGACAATTTATTAATGACTTCAACAACAGGCTCCTATAGTTATATATTTTTTATAATATAATAATCTTTAAAATTGTTTTTGATATATTAAGATATTTAAATTTTGTTTTTTTGAACTTTTTCAAACCATCTGGTCAATCTATCAGCCTAGTATTTTATTAATTTCTGTATTTTAAAGATTTAAATGAGAAGCGTTGTATATTAAAGTACTTTTTTTTTAAATTTAATTGTTTAAAATTAAAAAAAAATTGTTTCCAGATAAATATCACATGTCTTTCAAGCAACCAAAAGGTGATTGCAAATTAGTGAGGACTCTATTAACTTGCCATGGTTTCAAGGAGTGTGAGGCCAGCAGTGTCAACTACAACATCATCTGGACTGGTTCCCATGTCAAACCATACTTTCTTAGCTCCATGCTCAAGTTTCAAAAAGTCAACCACTTTCCTAGGTATATAGTGCTTTTATCATCTCATTTTATATCCCTTCTTTAATTTCTTTCTTGTATCATTTCAAAAACAAGTTTTTGAAAAAATTCTATGAAATATTTTTGGGTTTATTGTGATTTTTGTATACCTGTTTTAGTTTCTGATGTTTTATAGAATAATTGTAAAACAATGTATTTCTGTAAAGGAATATTTGTGTGTGTCTGTGTATATGTGTCTTGCAACATTGACGCTTATCACATTTTTTTTATAATAGTGATACAGTTCTTTATTAAGCCCCATGTTGAATTTTACTTAAAAAAAATTGTTTCAAGGTCTTATGAAATAACAAGGAAGGATAGGCTGTATAAGAATATTGAAATGATGCAACAAAATAAAGTAATTATTCATCATTCGTATGATTACTTCTCTGAAATTTTAACAATACTTAGTGATGCTTGAATGTAATTGTATTGTTAAGTGTATTGCTCAATTATGAACTTAAATCTCTGCAGGGATTCAAGCATTTTAATTTTGTTCCACAAACATTTGTTCTTCCAAGAGAGTACAAGGCATTCTTGTGTTAGCATTCATTCATACCTTATGGTTTTCTTGTATCGTTCATTAATTTTTAATTAAACCGCTCAAGTTTGTAAAGTTTCGTTTGTTTATCTGCCTGCCTGTCTGTACTGTTTATTAATTTGCATTGCTGCTGTTACGTTGTTGCTTGCGTCACCTGTACAGTTCATTCCAACAAAGAAAAGTGCTTGTGGATCGTTAAGCCGACGTCATTGTCAAGAGGACGCGGTATCTTCCTCACTAATTCTGTGAGTGACTTTGTATGTGCGTGATGGTGACGAATATCACATTTTCATCATCATTTATAAACATTAAATAATTAACTAATTAATTATTATTAAGTAATACAACACCAACATACTATTATCATCTTGAATATTATTACATAGCCTGAGAAAGCATTGGTTGATGATAATGTTGTTGTCTGTAGATACATTGACAATCCTCTTCTCATCAATGGTTTGTATTTTCGTTATTATTTTTGTTTTAATAATTTTAGCGCATCTAAAATGAATTATTTTATGGAATGTATATTTTCAACACTATTTTTTATAATTACATGGTACTGTGAGACCAATATTTAAAAACAGCAAAAATTATTTTAGCGTTAATCATAATTATCATCGTTATATTGTTACAAAAAAATGATAAAACTAAGAGATAGTACATAATTAAATCCTTTCTATTAAGGTTACAAGTTTGACCTTCGACTTTACGTCTTGGTGACCTCATTTGACCCCCTGATAATCTACCTGTACAAGGAGGGGCTTACCAGGTTTGCTACTGTCCAATTCAATAAGAGTTCAAAGTTCATGGGGGATTCCTGCATGCATCTTACAAATTATAGCATTAACAAGCATAGCTCTGCTTATGTTAGGTAAGGATGAAGGAGCTGTTGTTGTTATTTTGTTGTGGTTGTTGGTTATGATTATTGTTATTCTTATTGTTATTGATTCTATATCATAAGAAGTGTTTAAATGTTTATTATTTTTTGATTGTTAATTTACAGTTACTAATTGTTAAATATATTTCTATTTCAACTGAATGTTTGGGCTTCTCCATATTTGATTTATTTGTTAACAATGTTTATTCTCTGTGATTTTTTGTAATTTGCTGTTTAATTCACTGCAATCCTTCCACTTTCAACGTTAATAATGTGATGTTTCGCAGTAACAATGATGCCAGTGTTGAGGACCGAGGTAGCAAGTGGTCACTCAGTGGTCTTCTAAGGTTTCTCAGGGAGAACCATTACGATACTACTGGTTTGTTGCTGCTGCTGTTTTTATTAGTAGCCTCCTATATTAATATTACTACCACTGTTATTGTTAATCTTTTTTTATTCTGAATACTGCAGCCCTGTCAAACGTGGAGCTGCTTCTTACATGCTGTTCTATCCTTATCATTAAACATTCCTGTCAAAAGGTTGCAGGCTTTCCTCTTAACCTGCCGCACATACAACAACAACAACACACGTTTAGACGACATTTTCCCCGAGATCGGGGGTTGCCGTTTGGCTACCTATGTTGAAACCGAAATACCCCTCGACGCCATCCACATCTGTCACTCGCCTCAGTATCACGCAACCCCGCTTTCACCCTGTCCTTCTCCACCTGCTCTCTCCATCCCAATCGCGGACGACCCCTTCCTACCACTCCTTCAACCTCGAACTCCAACGCTCGCCTAATCCCGACCCTTTCATCCCTTCTTAACACATGTCCATACCACCGCAATCTCGATCTCCTTACCAATGTCACAATGTCCTCATTCAGCCCCATCATCGACATCAGCTCTGTACTACTCCTCCTATCCTTCACTTTAACCCCACACACATTATATAGGCACGAGCAAGCACCGACCGCATCATGTGTATGGTGATCTTTCAGTTTTTGAACAGGACATTATTCTAACCGTGCCATCGTGTAATAGCAGCGCTAGAGATAGCGCTTCTACCGACTAAGCTAACTCGATGATCAAAGATGATATATCAATGTCAAAGCTGATATATCTGTATCGAAGTTGACATATCATTATCAGAGCTGATATATCAATATCAAAGCTGATATATCAATAGCCCCACTCTTAATGATGTTAACATTATCAGCGCTCCATTAATGTTTTAATTATTATCTAAACTCAAATGTATAATATATTTATATAAACTGAAACATTAGCTCTGATGATGTCGATAGAAGATGTGATCATAAAAACAATGATTTCTGGAGAGTTTGCAATCTCAGCTGCCTGTAAAGCGTTTGTCCCTCACAGAGGAAATTGCTTCGGTAGGTTCCAACAGAGTTTAAACTTTACGCTACTAGGTTTCTTTTTGTGGTTTTGATTTTTAAATTAATTCATAATTTCACGTCAGAGTTGTTTGGGTTTGATATTTTAATTGATGAGAAGATGAAACCGTGGGTCCTGGAAGTTAACTTATCTCCTTCATTGGCTTGGTTAATTCTTATTCTCTTGTCAATTGACTGATTCATTGATTGACGGTATAAATTATACTCGATTAATTTCAGTGACGCTCCACTTGATTTGAAGATTAAGTCGAACATGATATCAGATCTGCTAAGCTTAGTTGGTTCGTAACCTTGAATCAATATATAATTCATTTAAAGTTTTTATTTTAATTTTATCACTTATAACTTTTAAATTGAAATTTTTACTGCTGTATATTTTTTCCTCCTTGGTTTGGAAATTAATGACTTTATAAGCTGTGAATTATATATAGACCTGGTCAGATTTTTGGCGTCGTTTTTGATGAAAATAAGGATTCTTAAAAGGGTAATTTTGATGGTAGTGGTGATATTTTGAAATACTATCAATGAGGAATGATATAAAGTATCTTTGGTATTAAGATGCTTGATGACGATAGGTTTTTACCTCAAAAAATTGTTTTTACTGAAAAGTTTGAATTTGTCAGACACTTTTTTCATTTACGTAAATTTTTTAAATAAATAAAATTAAATAGTTTTTTTCTCTCTCAAAGGTTTGGAGTGTCAAGACCCAATGCTGAGAAAAGCTACAAATCTAGTTAAGAACGCTTATGCCATTAAAAATCAGGTTTTTGGAAGGAATTAATTCTTTTATTATTATTTATATTGTTTTTGATGTTAATATTAGTTTATTATTCATTGTTGCTACTGCTTTTAGTCATTACATCTTCTAATTTATTGTTTATTTTTATTTGATTTTGCTTTAAAAATTTATCCAGCTTTCAGATTCTTTGTTTGTTAAGTATTATTTATTCTGATATTTTTATTAAAACACACTTGAATAATCTTTTGTTAATGGCTTTTGTTTTTAGGAGTATTTCTTATTTTCGTTTTTACTAAGTTTTTCGATTTATAATTTTATATTATTTTATTTGCTTCATGGAACAGAGGTTTTTGTGGTGGAGAAAACGTTTGACTTATTATCAAAAGGTTTTTTTTTTCTTCTCTCTTCTTTTGCATTTTATTTTTTTTGATTTGTTCATTTGGTTTGTTAAATATTTAAATTATAAATTAGTTATTTTCGTTCTTGCTTATAGGTCCTTTTTAATTTATTGTTTTTTTTCTAGTCTGTCAAAAAGAAGGTCAAAAATAATTATGAATAATTATATGATAATAATCTTTTATCAGAGACGATTGTTGACAGCATGCTCTTCCAACAATTTAATAAAACAACTGAACAACAACCTCGTCAACAACAATAACAATAAAATCATCAACAGCAGCAAAAATTACAAACCAACCGATGACAGCAACGATAACATCAACCACAACAACAGCAACAACAACAACTCTCACGTATCTCCACTCAAAAACAACAACAACAGCAATGATACTCTGAGCAACAATAACAACAACAAAAACAACAACAACAGCACTTGTAACAACAGCACAAACAGCAACCTGTTCACGAACGAGGAAATTCATTTACTGAGAAAAGTAAGAGAAGAACATTCGAGGAGAGGGGGTTGGGTGAGAATATTTCCGACTGAAGTTACATGGTCTAAGTACCAGTGTGTAGATTTTTTTTCTTATTATTTTTCTTATTCTTTTTAGTTTTATCTTGTTAATGTCATAGTAACATTTGACAGCCTTTGCTATCCTTCAATTTTTTTTATGAAAGTTTTTTCAATGATTTTATAATTTTGGTTACTGGTTTTCTCGTCATGGTAATTTTATTCAAATTGTTTCAAATGTCCTGGTTATGAATGTCCTGGTTATGAATGTCCTGGTTATGGCATTAAACTGACCCTCACTGCCTTGTGAGTGATGTTGGATCATCAAAGGCTAGGCCCACCGCTTATAACTGTGGTTGCGTAAGGAAGGGCGTCCTGCGTAAAAATTAGCCAAATAAATTACTTATGATGGAATGGCGTCGAGGGGTATTTCGGTTTCATCATAGGTAGCCAAACGGCAACCCCCGATCTCGGGGAAAATGTCGTCTAAACGTGTGTTGTTGTTTCAAAACAAGAAAATTTGTTTTTTTTGTTCAACCTCACTTTAGCGCATTCAAATCTTAAATATTTTTTAAAATAAGGTTCATTAATATATCAATGAAATTATTTAGTGTTTTGTGACTTTATTAGTTTACTTACATTAATATAAAATAATCACCACACACACATTTATACTCACACACACACACATGTACACACAACACACACACTCACACATGTACACACACACGCTTTTACAGTGGGTTCTTCCATGTTGCCAAACCCCAAAACATATTTTTACATCAAAATCTCTTCAGCGATGACAAGGGGTAAATGATTTTTATTATCTACTTTACTTTGTTTTGTTTTGAGTTTTTAATTTTTGTGTTACTTTTGTTAGTTTATTGTTTGTTTGTTTGTTTGTTTATTTAATTTAGTTTTTGTGTTATTATTGTTGGTTTATTATTTCTTATTTAATCTGTTTAAATGATTAAATTTATTTAATTTTTAAAGTATTCTAGCTAATGAAAATGTTCACATTGCACCTTCCAACCTCCATAACGTTTGTTGCATTTTTTATTTTATACATTTTTAAAATTTGTTTCTTAAAATTTAATTCTTGATCAGTTGATTAAATGAAATTTTAACTCTTTAATGTATATAGGATTATTCCATCAAAGAGTGGTTGATTGAAGTTTTCAGATTTTACATCATTTTGCTTGGATATCTAACAATATCATTCAAAATCATTTATTATCACACTAACAAAACTCACACACACACACCACATTTACACACTTACTCACACACAGCAGATGCAGAGTTCATTATCTCTGCTAAACAACCGGAAGAGGTGCATGATGTATGAAAAGAGTTTGGATAACATTAAAAATTCAGGAAATCATTTGAATGAAAGAATGATCATTAGCAGCAACAATAACAGCAATAACAACCACAACAACAGCAACAGTAACAACCACAGCAGCAGCAAACATAACCAAGAGGAACAACACACTCTGGTTCAAACTGGAAAGACATCTACAAATTGGTACCACAGTGAGTGTTTTTTTTAGTTTTTACTTTTTAGTTTTTATCAACAAATTTTAAATTTGACTACTAGAGTTGAAATATTCTTTTGGAGCTTGCCACTGACCAAGGGCTTCACTTGTTGCTTTCTGAATCAGTATTAGAACAGATTACCCAAAGCTCATAGACTGGACAACAAAAAACTTTTCCTATTTCCTTTCACTTATTTATGTAAAATCAGTTATTCATGCGTGATCAAACACCTATACTGTTTGAATATTTGTTTGTACCATGTGTGGCAGTGTCCTCATTTCAGCCGCGCTTAAAGGAAATAATAATATTCTGAATAAAATATGTAACGTGTATGTGTGTGTCAGTGCGTATACGTAGTTCTTCTGCAATTCGTTAGGTGGTTGTTCGCATCGTGTCTTTTAAATTCAACACCGATCCGTGGAAGCTACTTTTTGGCCCCACGGATCATCTCAACACAATAATTACAATGTGCCTGTATAATGGTTGTTTCTGTTCTAAAATTCCTAATTTGACCGTTATTTAAATCATTTACCGAGTTATCATCAACAGTGATTGTTCATTCTTATCAATGACTGCAGAACTCCTTACATCTTCGTCGTTCTCATCCGAGAGCAACATCAACAACAGCAGCAGCAATCATACCATCAACCGAATAACATCGGTACCCAGTGTAAATGAGGGATTCCCTGGAGGAGATAGGCACAGAAGTAAAGTTCTGAGAGACCTTCGAAACTCTATGTCCGTCGTCAACTACATGAAATACTTGCTCAATTTGCAGGTTGCCTCATTTAGGTAAGAATCATTTTAGAAGACGTATGATCCATCTTTTTTGTTATTGATCCTTGTTTGAAATTCAATTTATTAAATTCGATTTATTAAATTCAGTAATTCTAAGATGAAATATTAATAGTAAGCAATCATGATTTTTCAATAAATTTGACCATTATTTATTTGTTTATTTTACGGTGCTATTTTACAATCAATCTTATCATTTTTATACTTTCTTGCTTGCTAATTACATTTTTAAATTCCAATATTATCTCTCAAAATAACTTAAAAAATTTTAAAATAACATTATTTTTTCAAATGCAATCCAGTAAAAGCCAAGAGAGAAATATATTTAGTGAGTACTTGAATAAATTGAAAAATGCACTGGCCTATAAGATTAACAAAAGGAGGAGTTTTGACGAAGTGGACATCATCAATTATCATGTTAGTATTTTTTGCAGCAGTTGTTGTTGTTAGTATTTGTTGTTGTCGTTGCTGTTTGTGAATTTTCTCTGGAAAATAGATGATAATACTTCTTAATATGTGTGTTTGTTATCTACTGGAATTTACCTAGATTTATTTATTTTTCCGGTTTGGTTTTTTTTCCCAAAATTACAAAATAATACAGATTGTTGTAAGTCATTTTAATGTAAATATTTGTATAGCTTGTTTGTTTTCAAGCTGCCATATTTATCAAACTATGACGTGTTTGTGTATATGTTGATGATGATGAGAAAGAAGAAGATGATGATGATGAGGATGATGATTGTATCTTCTTGATTTAGAAATATTTCATCACATAAAATAAAAAATGAAACTAGAAAATGACTCAGAGGTTCTCCCAGAAGATATCGGAATATTATGGCTACGAGGCTCCCTTGCACAAACTCCATCTGTCACCATCTTCACTGACTGATCAAATGACAACTTGTATCAGTCAGATCAATAAATTTCTTACAGTCTTCAATAGCGTTAGTACTTTATCTTAAATTTTGCTCTTTTTATTTATCGTTACTGTTTTGATTGTTTGTTTGTTTGTTTGTTTGTTTGTTTGTTTGTTTGTTTGTTTGTTTGTTTGTTTGTTTGTTTGTTTGTTTTATGTCTTACTGATGTGTTTTTATTTTAAATTTCGTCTTTTGGTTTTTCATATCATATTTTTATTTTTTTTTTCAATTATAATTCATAATTTTGTTCGAGTTCGTTTATTCAGTGTGGTGTATTGGACATTTTGTTTAGCAACAAGATAGGCAGGTAGGCACACGAATATTCACGCTCATTATTTCTTTGCTATTAGGACACAAGCAGAAAAAATTACAATGATGAATCACGCGACGACGATGATGACGACGAAGATGCTTATGAGGATGATGATCATGATGACAACAGCAATAATAAAAAGTGCAATCATAATAATAATAATAGCAGTAATACTAATTACAAAAATAATAAGCGAGCGTCATCACTGTTAATGAAAGATTTCTTTGAAGATGCTGATGTCTCCAAAGGCATTAAAGAAGCCAGGTAAGTGATCTGGTTCATGTTGTAGTTTGTATAGTTTTTGAGCAATACGGTTGCTGAAGGATGTGTTTTGGGTGGAAATGTTGAGTGTTGCTATTTTAACTATATTGTATGTTTTTTCGTAAAAGTATATCGATGATGATGTTTACTGCTATAAATAGCACATTTAAAGTTGCTTCAATGTTTCAGCTTGTTAGACTTACAAGAGTTGTTGTCAGTGTATGTGAAGAACGACAGGCAACTTGATTCTCTCTTTGGCAAGGTTCTCCCTCCAGCTGAAGCCAATCTCTCCATCAGATCACAAAGTGCTAAAATGTATCCCAGGCTTAAGGGTAAGACATTTTTTAGCAAGTTTTAATCAAGTATTTTATCAGTTGTATCTTTTTTTGTCTGTTGTCATTTGATTGATAGTGCTTATATTTCTTTTTTGGTGATGAACGAATCAATGAATCCATTGAACTTTGTGAGAATTTTTCATTTGAATGACGATTTTATGACATATCTGTTATAGAAAAAGCATCGTTAAACTTTTATTATTATTACTGTTAAATAATTGTTGGAATTAGAACTTTAAAATTTTCGTAATCACTCATGCACCCTAGAACTAACAAGGATGAGACAGACACCCTCCAACACAGAAATCCAGCAAGCCAGACAACCACGACAATCTTGTCTGTCTGCCCCAATCTCGAAAAGACTTCCTCTCAGTGCCTCATCATACAAGCAAGCTCTACTTGTCTATGGCAAGAATGGCTGTGGTCAGTATGATAAAAGGCCCAACACTTCCATGAACTATGTTGTCTCTATGAAAAGTTTGTTACTATTTCTTAATTGTTTTTATCTTATTCAATTTCAAATTATTTTTGTTTAACAATAATGTACTGTTTCCAGTGAACATAATCGATAGGCAGTTCATTCATTCATCATTCATTTATTTATTAATAAATTTTTCAAAAGTTTACATAGAGCAATCTTTACTCTTCTGCTGTTATGGTTTCATTGTCTCAGATCAATTTTCAAAACAAGTCAAATTAATCAATTTTTATAAATTTCCTTTTTTAATTTAAGTTCAATGATTAATGGATGTGTAGTAATACTTGATATTCATGATTATTTACAGCCGCTGACGACGAGACGTCAACGAACCTGAACGTGAACAACACTAAACCTCGTGCATATTCATCCAATCCAGTTGGTAGATGTCTAAAGTCGTCCGACCAATCACAAGTCTCGGTTGACGTTTCCCCAGTAAAGACTCGCCACCACCACCACAAGAACGCAGGCAACAACAATGATGATGACGAACACGAGGATTGGGTGCTTAGTGGAATGTCAGTGGCGAAGAATCATCAGCATCGTCGTCAGCGTCGCCAGGCCTTCAAAGATTGCGACGATTATGAGGCTGATGAAGTTGGCTGTAGTTACGATGAGGGGGAGGAGGATTACGTCAATCGGAGAAAACTTTCAGGCGGAAAGAAATCGACTTTTATGAATAAAAGTTCTGCTAAACGTAGTGCTAAGTATAATAAAAAAAAGGGTAATGATTGTGACGATGAAACTATCAAGCATAAAGATACAAATACCAAGCCGAAAGTGGTCTATAATAAAAATACATTTGTTTATAAGCATCAAAAGAATAGAAATAATAATGATGATGATGAGGATGATGTTGGGAAGAGAAATGATGAAGTTAAGAACGATAGTGATGACTGTGATGATAAACATTTTAACGATGATGGCAATTGTAGCGCTGCTCATGACTGCACTAATAAAAGCAAATCAAAATCATCTTCATATTATTCAACGACCAATTGGAAAGTTACCGTAATGAAAAGCAAAGAACTTGTAGAGAAATCAAAGGAAAGTCAGCAAGAATTGATCAGTTATACGAGGGATTTACAGATCGGAGGTGATGATAGTGATGATGATAAATAAAATGAAGATTATGATAATGCTCTTGAGTTGAAACTTTTTTTCTAATGTTAAGTCTGAATGTAATAAAGGTCTTCAGAGGCGAATATATTAATAATCAAAATTTTATATTTTAACTTTCCATGTAAACCAATTAATTTCTTGTATTCACTACTCACTTATTGTTAGGATTCGTTTCTCTTATATAATTATAGTTTACTACTTTACAATTATTTTGATCTTATTTCATTTCACCTGGAAGAGTCGGTAAACTTGTCGTGTTTGCATTTTTGCACACGTTTTAATGTGATTGACGGTTATTTTAGACGAACCTAATGCCCCGTGCTATTCCGATGCAGTGGCTAATTTGCTATTCTAATCTTACTTTGTTTCATATAGTCATCTATTTAGAATTTTGAAAAATTTAATTCGACAATTTTAGGCATTCGTTTTTATAAAAATAATTCATATAGATCTTTTTGAATGTCGTTTCACATCACTGGCGTTTGAGTGTTTTTAGTCACTTTTTTATTTTTTCTTTCCCCTTTGATTTAGTTAATTAAATTTTATCACTTCATTTAATATGATTAATGAATAAATATGAAATTTTTTTTCAAGTCCTCAAACGTAAATAACACGTGGCTTAACTAATTAAACGTATTTACAACAAAGCATGCAATCATCATAGTTCGTAGAGATTAGCGTAGTTATTGTTCGACAAGTGTTATGTCTCTAACGTCGTAAGAAGTCTTGACTTCAACGATCTCTGTGCTCTTGACTTCAATGGCCTGTATGATTACTATGATTTCCAAGTCCAACTTCTCCTTACTTATAGTTTCGTTTGACCAAAGTTCCACGATGTCTGAATTCAATGATGTTTCAGAGCGGTATAGGGATGACTGAGATTCTGATTTTTGCAATTTGTTGATGTTTTCGATGAGGCTCAACATATTATCAGGTTTTGCTTCGTACATTACCGGTTTCTTCTTTTCCAAAATAACGTCAAGGAATTTACTTATTGGACTGTTTTTATCTACATTGTGTGTGACGGTACTTCTCGTATCGAAGCTACCAAATTGATTTTCATTTTCTGTACAGAAATCTAATGGTTTAACGGCTAATATTTCAATTGAGCTACCTAGCGGTGTATTTACTTTTTTCTTCACTAATAAAAATCCGAATAAGCTAAGCGACATGAGATCTTCCATGTTTAGGGTTGAAACTTCGATAATCAATCTATAGTTGTCGTGAGCCTTGTCATCAGATTTGTTGAATTTGCGCGACTGTTTAATTTTAATTTTTCCCAATTTATTTCTAACTGGTTTTCGTGTGAATTTTATTAAATTTACTTTGTCGTTTGAATTTTCTTCAATTGTTTTTAACAGTTTTTCTTTTTGTATTGAAGCTCTTCTCGATGGTCTTTCCATTTTTTCCATAACTCTCTCTTGAACAACTCTAGTTATTTTTATGATGTCAGAAAACATTATTGACCATGTTGGTTTTTTTGATTTCTTCCTCGAATTGTTATATCTTGCAAAAATTATAGAACCTGCTAAGGATTGTACCACGATTCCGATGAAAGCTTGAATAACAAATAATGCAACCGCCATTGGACACTCATCTTGTATTTCAACATTTCCGTAACCCATTGTAGATTGAAGATCAATAGAAAAAAATAAAGCACTAACAAAATCTTCGAGTCCTTTGATACAAGGCTTGAAGTCTTGTTCGTCATTTTCAAAATATTTCTTATCCAGATCGCCATGGAAATAAGCGACCAAGTACCAAATAACGGCAAATCCAAACCAAGAACCAACGAAAAGAAAAATAAAGATTATCATGACCAAAAACCAATTCGCGTTCGTAGCTCCACCAAATGTAATCGACAGAAAATCTTTTACAACATTCCATCTGCTTTTGTCGCAACCAACAATGTTAAATTCTCCTTTCTCGTCAATCAGTTTATTGTTATCAAGTTTTAACGTTAACATGATCAAATTCAACAAACATCAAATGTGAACAATCAATTGGGAGGCTGCTGTAAATACTGAATGAAAATAAGAGAAGCAGCTTCAAGTCAAGTAATTAATTCAATTAATTCAACATTTGTAATTTAATCGCAGACAAGTTTCAGGTAAAGTGTGGCTTGGTTTAATGATTATGCAATCGCTGTCTGGTATGATATATTTTTTATGAAAAGAACTGTGAAAATGTTGAAATATACATTCAACAAAATTGTGGCAGCAGGTCATGAAGAGTTAAAATTTGCGATGCCTTTTAATATGCTGTAACTGTTCAAGCGCCAGTTGCTCGCAAATGTACACCCGCCTATCCCATTCTTAAACATATAGACAATGCATTGTATTGCACTTGTTCACCTATCTGTATAATTAATCTCTTCTTGAGGTATTTGATGTTTGTTAAATTTTATCATGCTAGCGTTATAAAGGTATCTGTATATATACATTGTAAATTTATCTGAAATGTTGAATGAATCTTTGAACATTAAGAAAATTATCTTTCTCTTTCTTTCTATAAGACTCGACGAACGTAGTAACTTAAACCTTACCAACACATGGTTGTCAAAAAATTTATTTATCCTAAAAGTGAAAATAAACCTCAGAATAAATTACAACCGGCCGATCAGTATTCGACAAAAAAATAGAGCTAGACATCCACAACCATGTCGAATTAACATAACACGCCAGAAGTGTTCTCTAGTTTATTAGTCAAAATGTTATTAATCGATTCAGTGTTGAACAAAATTATACATAACGGTTAAATTTTCTTTGTCGATAATCTATTTTATTTTAACGTTAATACTTACATATAAATGATAAATCAAATCTTAACTGGCATTTAAAGAAATTATGAAAACAAAATATTTTATCACTGCCTTACAAAAATAGTTTGGTAACTCCTAGTTTAGCATTTGATTATGAAACATGCAGAAGAATAGCAAAATATAAAACAACATAACAAGTCAAGTATGAACATTAAATTTAAATAATACTTGATGAAAGGTTAATGTAGCAACATGTCACAAAACACAAAATCCAAAACTTAAGTATCCATGGAAAAAATAAGCGTGCATTTTCAAGACGCAAACACGCATATTTATATATACACATATGCACCTAAAATTTTAATGTTAATGTATGCATAACAATGTCACTCTGTTCTTGATCAAAGTATCCAGTAGAACTTGCTGATTAGAAAAAAGATCGCAACAGTGCTACATTTATAATAAACTATCTGGCAGCTATAAGGATAATTGTCATTTATTAAGTTATTCACCAGTATCGTCAAAATGGCAAAAAATTTGAACAAACTTACTGGCTTAATTGTTAAATCTCTCCAAACATTTCTTTTAGTAATTAGATTAAGGTTTAACTGATAACACAGGCAAACCCGGTATCGATCGTAAATGATTTAAACAATATATATATATTTATATATAAACATTATATATACACTAAACTTTTGAAACATATATATAATATAGATAGGTAGGTGTATGTTATAAACAAACAAGACAAATAGACAAATAAATAGATATGCACAAACATGAAATGAATAAATCATAAATATAAGAACAAAATTATTTTCATAGATATTTCTTACACATAGTTTATAACTGGTAACAAGACCAGAAATTTTGCGACTAGTACAAACCAACATTTCCTCAAGAAATGAAACTCACCTAACGCAAAATAAAAGCAACATGCACTTTGCAAGGTCTTGTAAAACTGATACCGCTGGTTTCAACAATAAATAGATCTTAAAATCAGAAAAAGGTTAACAAAAGGTAACAAAGTATAATTAATATTGGTTATAATCAATAGACGTCTTTACATGAAAATTGAACAGAAATAATGCAGAGGACAATGCCAGTATGTTTAAGTTCAACTGCCAGTGGTGCAATGAAATGATGGAGGTTATTGTGGAGCTGCTGCTGATGGCTTATGAGATTAGATGGCCTGTGCTTAACTCGACAATCAAACCGGTCTGTTGAAAAGGCTTAAAGAAGATCCATGGATTTTGTACCCACTCTTGAATTCAAAATTTTAACATCTGATACTTGATAAGTGAAACATAAATTTTACAACCATACACATGCGACAAGAATTAGATAAAAGTAGTAAATTTTTAACAGACAACAAGTATTGATTTACATGAACACTTGAAAATGTCATCAATATCAATTGAATTGAAAAACTGCAGTTAATAATGAATTTAGCCTAAAATTATTTACAGATGAAAGTGAAAAAAAAATATGTGATGAAGAATATGCTGATGTAGATGGATGAGGAAGACAATCCCAGCAAGGACACACCTCACAATTGATATATCTCATTTTCAAGTAATTCAAATTTCTCTTGTAGCTTTTCATCTTTTGATGAGGTTATTGATTTATGAAATTTCATCTTCAAGTCTGAATAACTGCTCCTAGAAACTGGACTGACCTTGCCTTTTGAATTTTGCTTCTTTTTTGACGGCTGAACATTTTCCATACTTGTGAATCTATGGATGCGTGTGTTAGGGAAAATTAACAAAACCAAGATCAAGCAAAGCAAAAATGAAAAATTTAATAAAAAGGTTTTGAAAATATTAACTACTATAACAAGCAAAAAATAAGTATCTGAGAAATGTCACAAGCATCTAACAAATCATCCAAAATGTAACACCTTCTATGCTTTCATTCAGAAAATCAGTAAAAATTCAGTATAATTTTGAATTTATAAGACACCATTGTGATGTTTAAAACAAAGTAAGAATCAAATATAAAGAATAATTAAATAATTCTATTTATTTATTTATTTATTTATTAAGCAAAAATCAAAGTTTATAACCAAAATTGATTACTTTGTTTGTTTTTCAAGTCTTTCAATGTTACATTTTATTTTGGCCAATGATGAATCGTATTTAGAAAAATAATCTTGGTGGTTTGTGATGTTATGACTATCTTCACTGTCCTTAGCATTAAGACAATTTGAAGCAATTGGCGTGTTAGGGTTTGAAAAATAATTTGAATTATTAGTTGAGTCGGCCAACCGACCTATGCTTTTTGACTTAGGCATGTGTTTATTTAAATCTTTTTTTGCTATGAGTTCACCATTGAAACTGGCAGGTAAATCATCTCTGTTGCAAATGGGTATGAGCAGCTGTTTACATAAAAAGATGTTGTCATTCCACAACCTGTTCACTCGTCGTAGTGTTGATGTCTAAATTTAAAAATTGTAAATTTTAATAATAATAATTTGAACTGATAAAATATATAAATGAAAAGGTAAATGTAAACTGTGATGTAAAGTATACTGTACTGTAAACTTTACTACACTTTACAGTGTAAAGAAAAGGGATATAATAAAAAAATTAAGTCATTGTACCATATGTTGATCAAATAATTAAACACCGTTTAAACCTCTGAAATTACACAACAGCTCGACCATGGAAATTATAATGCAAACAAACCGTAAGGCCATATTTGAGAGCGATGGAATTTAAAGATTCATTTTCTTCCACTAAGTGTTTGATGTAAAATTCACTATTTTCTTCGACAGGTTTAGATTTTGTGCAACAACTAGATGTACCATATTGTGGAAAATGTTTGGAGCTCAAGCTTGTCTTTTCTTCGTCTGCTTTTGACAATAACGTTACTTTTGAACTACATTCTGCCATTTTACGAACCTGCGAAGTCAAAATATTTTTTGTAATAAAATTGGAATTCACTTTTCAATTAATGTGGGTGGAAAAAATTTATATCTTATATTCAAATAAATAGTTATTGATTTAAAAAAAATTGTATTTTTATCGTAAGTATAATAACATTATTGCAATATGTTAATTTAAAAAAAATTTTTTTCAAATTAAAAAGCGCTTTTTCAAAAAATTGTGGTAATAAGCATCGCTAGTTTTGCGCCTGCCCTTACACTTACACTTACAGACACTTGACGTATGCTTTTATATGTTATCAATTAATGGGGTATCTTTATTTTATTACGTAGGAACATCAAAGGTTGCTGCTGTTTAACTTTAACTTGATCATTTGCTTGTTGTTGTTATTGCTGAATATTTAATATTTATATTGTTATGAAACTCTTTCACTAAACTGTCACTTTATTTGTTGATCGCTCTTCAAAATCTTATGCATGGATCAGTGAATGACAATTGATTGGTAAATTCCTTGATTGTTAAAAATTAAAAAGGGCAATTCTTCTCAATCAATTCAATTCATTCTACTTTTATTTTAATTAGTATATATGCCAAATATGGCCAAAAATAATGATTATGTTCATTGTCGTACATATTTATTGATGAATATACCGTTATTATAACATACAATCATGTATGTATTACTACAGAATAGGCATTATCATTAGATTAGCTGAAATCATCATATATGATCACTATGACTTCATCCATTGATGTTTATTTTGTTGTGTTTGTTTCTGTTGTTAAGTAACTAAATTAATAATACTACAGCCACTAGCAGTCATTTCTGTCCACCAAGTTACACTGTTCATTGTAAAAATATTTAATTATTATTAAAATTAAACTTTAATTAAAGTAATTAAACTATTTGTACTACTAAGCTACTAGGTGTTTTGTCATGCTTGTCAATTATTCCATTGGTTAAAATAAGTAGCTTATTTTAAATTTAACATTAACTTCGACTACACTACATTTTAATTTGACAAGTTATTTCAATTTTGGATTTTCTCATTTTTATTTATTATAGTAATTTAATTTTTAAGAATTTTTAAAGTTATTGAATTGAAAGTTTCAGTTATTTAGGTTATTTTAGCTTTAGATTTGTCTTCGAATAAAGAAACAGAATTGCATGAATTTTTTTGAGTATTGAAAGATCAAAATTTGTTTTTTTCAATTTCAGAAATGTTGAAGAAAATTAATATCGTTGTTTGGCTGCTCATTTTACCAATTGTTGCAGGTGATTTTCTTTTTTTTGTTATGCTTTTTAAAATTAAATATGATAAATCAATTTATTGATAATTTTTCTCCATAAAATACAGAATCCATTGATGATCAAAATCTATTAACCAATCAAAAAAATATTGATGAAAGTTTGAAAAAAAATTGGCTCGGTCGTCTAGATGGACATGAAGGAAGAGGAAAAATGATTGGTAGGCCAGATGGACATGATGGAAGAGGAAGAATGATTGGCAAGCCTGATGGACATGATGGAGGTAATAAGAGAATGTTCGGTCGTCCAGATGGACATGATGAAGCTAACAATCGTAGGATCTATCAGTCATTTGGACACTATAATGTTAAACCTCTTCCACTTGGTCCATCAGATGGTCATGAAAGAGTTCCAATTGGTCAGCCAGATGGACATGATAAAATTAAACCTGATTTAATTGGTCAACCGGATGGGCATGATGGAATTAAACCTCATTTGATTGGTCAACCGGATGGACATGAAGGAATTAAACCTCATTTGATTGGTCAACCAGATGGACATGATGGAATTAAACCTCATTTGATTGGTCAACCGGATGGACATGATGGAATTAAACCTCATTTGATTGGTCAACCGGATGGACATGATGGAATTAAACCTCATTTAATTGGTCAACCGGATGGACATGATGGAATTAAACCTCATTTAATTGGTCAACTGGATGGACATGATGGGATTAAACCTCATTTGGTTGGTCAACCAGATGGACATAATGGAGTCAACATGAAAACAAATGAACAGCCACTAAATACAGAAAGTATTTATCAGGATAATGATGATGAGGACGACAATGATGATGATGATGATTGGCTAATGTATTTGAGTGGTAATGCTCATAGTTTCATCTCATCCATAGGAAATATATTTGGAGAGAAGATTTTTGAAACCCATGATGAAGATGATGGCAGCAACACAGCACTTGTCAGATGCAAACGTCCAATCTGTGATAAATATCTCGACTGTCCAATGGGTCCTCAGTTGGACAGTCAGGGATGTGCCACGTGCCAGTGTTTGTCTGATCCGTGTGTGGTGGGTTTGTATTTTAATTTCCATGGCATCGTAAACTATTGCCATTATGTTTATTTGATTGTTTTTGCAAATTAATTATAAACTTTTTATATGTGAACAATTATCGATAAGTTTATTTCAACTGATATTTCTGAAAAATTTGTTGAATTTTAAATGATCAGGGAGTAAAATGCGAGATTGGATATGTCTGTGATGCTATCGAGTGCCAGCCTGGTGTTGCCTGTCCTAGACTGACTGCTCGATGTCTTGGTAGGTTCATCTTTTTCATGTGTTTGTTTACTATTTTCTTGAGTCGAATTATGAAAGTGGTTGCTTTTGTTGATATGATGAGATGATTTAAGAGATAGGTTGTATTGTATAGACAGAATACAAAACGTGGTAGGGCTTTTTAAGTCTGAATATATTTTAAGGCTGATATGAATGAGTTATTAAGTGTATCAGGTTGGATTAATTAACAAACAACTGAACAGGAAAAACATGCACCGGACCGAGCACGATGTGTGCAAACTTCTGTGAGAATTTGTACAAGCTGAACAGCAAGGGTTGTTCCACTTGTGAATGCAGGACCAGATTGTTGCCACCATCCATACCCCTGAACACCAGCTATGAGATTGCTGAGGCTGGAAGTGATGAAGATGATGATGGACATGAGGATGAATATGCCAATGATGATGATGATGATGATGATATAGACATACTCTGGGGTGTTGAAGGTCACATGAATGATGAAGAGGATAGCGAGGATGAGGACGATGATGATGATGAAGAAGATGATGATGATGTCCTGGAAGTTAGTTATGTGGCTCCAAACAAAAATGGTAAATTCTTCAAGGATGCCTTCAACTGCAAAGTAATCATATTTATTTTTGAAGTGATACATATGTTTAATTAATTAATTAACTAACCAATCCTTTAATTAATTGATAATCATTTATCATGTATTAAATATTCATTTACTGAGTCAATGTTTTGTTTTCAACCTTGAAGTGTAAGGCAAATGAGAGATGTGACATGTACAAACCTCAGGATAGCTTGATAGCTTTCTACCCTGCCTGCAGAGGTTGGTACCTTATAAGGTTCTTTTTAGCTTTTTTTTCTACTTCTTTCATTTTGTATATATTTTTTTAATCAACATCTGTTGAAGCATGAAAAGTTTGTTTAATGTTATAATTATTGGTTGATAATAACCTGCTTCTAACTTTGCAATTAGTTTTTGACTTGTAATAAAGTTCAAATAAGATTTTTGTTTTCATCATTATAACATTTTGAGATGAAAAGCTGCAAGGAGCTAGAATCTGGTCTTGTTGGAAGATATATTTACACATCAGGGCATCGTTTTTAAATGATTTGTTGTTTTAATTGATTTATAGTTAATGATTTTTACTAATAAAATTTTCAACGCTGGCAGTCATCAGAAAAGGTATAGCCAAAGTTATGTACCCGGATCTTTATAAGGAACTTGATGATACAGACGTCATTTTTGACAAAGATAATGACTACTCCATCAATCCCATTCAGTGCCCAAGTATAAATGATTATTTTATATTCTTTTAAATTTTTGTGTGTTTTTTTTTTATTATTTTGCTTATGTGCTCGTTTACATTTCTGTTTTAAGTGCATTTTATTTACATTTTATTTATATATTTGTTTAAACTATATTATTATAGCAAAGTTTTAAATTAATATTATGTGATGGGGTGTATCTCATTATTTTATGACAATATTACTGATGACATCAAGCAATTTCTCTGCAACTAATGGATGAATTGCAAATGATATTGATATTGAGTTTATATATATGTAGTGTCGTTTAACTTATCGATCCCTAATTCCCAGTAAAATTTGTTGTTTATTTCTGTTCTTCTTATTATTATTGTTTTTTATTATTTATGTTATTCTTTCTTTTTGGCCATCTATATTTTTACAACTTATTATTGCTAGGCATGTCTTTTTATTATAAGCAATAATTTAATCATTTATGTAGTTAATATTCTTGATATGAAGTTCACACAAAATGTTCTCTTGGATCAATTGGGTTTTATAATTGAGGATGTTTTAACTCTTAGTCTGGTAAGATTTATTAAGTTAGAAACTAAACAGAAGTTTCATTGTAATTAATTATTTAGCAGCAACAACAACTACATATGCAATTAACCATTTCAAGTGCTGTTTCAACATTTATTCCATAGATTAATTTTCAACCATAATTATTTAAAATATAATGTAATTATTATATATAATAGAACCAGTATCTCTTATATTAACATTTTGATTCATGTTTTTACGTATGCTGTGTTAAATTTTTGTGAAGATTTAAAAAAAATTTATAATATTTTTCCAAAGTCACTCCTTAGTAATACTTCCTGCAGAATGCAACACTGCACAAAGTGTATTGTGCTACTGTGACGTATTGTAGTAACGTTACTATATTGTGTTACTGTGACGTATTGTAGTAACTTTACTATATTTTCATTTTATTATTCGTATAATATCATACATTATTATAATAGTTATTGCCATATTGTTATTATTATAATTATTATTTATGTTATTATTATTACCTTACGTATTGTTGGAAAACTGTCTTTATCCTTCAAAGAGAACAATGATGAGCCGTGTTATTGCGTGAACGACCAGGGCATGCCCAACAAGCCCTACCACGTTTCACCCTCCAATCTGCATGACGTCACTTGTGGTTAGATCTTTGATGTGGCTGTTATGGTCTTTTTGTGTTAACATGTGTGTGTGTGTGTGTGTGTGTTTGTTTGTTTGTGTGTTTGATTATTTGAATGTGTAAAGTTTGAATATTTGCTTTTGTTTGGGTATTTGTTTCTCGGCACTTTATTTATACTTGTATCAATTCACTATTTTATAAAATTTGAAATTTATGTTTTTATTTAAAAAAAAGTTTTTTAACTGTTATTGATAATTGATTTGCGTCTCAATTCATTGTATGTATTGTTTCTTACTTACTAAATTTTACTAAAGATTTTACTGTCTGTCTTTTTTCATTATGTATAATGCAGCTCTGTCAAACAGTTGAGTTGCTTGCAACTTTTAATTCTATATTTATAACTGAACATTCCTAACTTATGTGCAGCTGTAATTATTAAACACATAGCTATTTTCATGGGAGAGTTGTTGCTACTGTTAATTATCCTTTTGCCATTAAGTGTTTGTGATGCATGTCTTTCTGTTTAATCATGTTTAATCCATGTACAACAACAGCTTGTTGTCTTCATTGTTGTCAACAACTGATTGTTGTTGATGTGCCTGTTATGATAAGCCATGATGGTGATGATAAGCAGTAATGTTTGTTTAATATTCGTATTAATCTTTATTCTAAATCCCTGATCATTTTAAAAACTTTTAGATTTTATTAAATGCCATTTTATTATTTATATTGTTAGTGTAATCATTTATTATATGTTTTTGAAATTTTTGTGACAAATTATACATTATTATTATCCTGGTCATTATTTATTCATCATTTTATATAATTGCCTAATTGACTTTGTCAACAGCATTGTTTATCATTGAGATAATTTTCATACATTTATGACTTATTTATAAATCATTCCCTCATCATTATCATCATCGTCAGCATTTTCATCATCGTCGTCGTCATCATCATCTCCTTCTTCATCATCACCGTTGATATAGTTGCCAACATAACAATGTCCTCGACCTTTGAGATGCTCTTCGAGATAATTGGTCCGTCTGATTCACTCTACACTGGCGTCCAGTGAGTATTATTCATTAAGTACCAAATTTTCTCATACAAAATTCTCAATCGAATTAACATAACTATTATTTTACTTGACTTAAATTGTCTTGGATTGCCCACTGGAGTTTAACTTTCTTGAAGATGCATCTGATGAGGATGATCAGTTGATATTTGAGATAGCGCTTTTGTACTAATGGGTAGATGGGCGATAATGATTTCATTACGTTTTTTTTGTAAATTTTAATTAATTTTATTTATTACACTGGTAATATTATCTAAATTGTATTCTATTTACAATTATTATTTTGACAGAGCCATGACCAAGAAGATAGCAGAGATTACCTATGCTCCTGAAAAATCTATTGTTATTTTTGGAGTTAGCAAGCTATAATTTTTTATTTATATATTTTAGGTTATATATTTAAATACTTGGATGACCTGATATGGTTCCAGAGATCTGTTTGTGAAGTGTTGTTTTACTCGTGTTTGTGTGCGTTGTGTGTGTGTGTGTGTGTGTGTGTGTGTGTGTGTGTGTGTGTGTGTGGGTGGGTTTACTGTGACATCTTTAAAAAATACACAAGAAAGCATTCTTTTAACTACTAACTTGAAATTGACATATGTCAAACAAACGTCCCATATTTTTTCGCAATTGTTACATCCAAACTTCACACAAGCACTGCACGCATCGTTCCACTGAAGTATCAACCACATACATACAAATATCACGTACAAATATTCCATACAATTCCATCACCTCAGATTGATTACCCTCCAGTGAGGGATTCGCCACAGCTAAAGGAAAACGTCGGCGAAGATGTTAAAGTCGTTGCCAAACTTGTCTACAACCCATCCATTTACGACATTCCATTCGCCCTTGACCTACTTAAGGCTACTCAGGATCTTGTGGTTAATTTTGACCTCTACAAGGTCAAACAAAAGGGTCAGTTTAAATAAATTTTAATTTTTCCACATTACTTGAAACCCCTCAAATTTTAATTTTGTCAATAATTATTTTAATTGATTTAAAATTAAATGAAAATTCATAAGGTCCTTTCGAGATCACGTCGAATGTCTTCAACAGCACTATCGTGGCACCCATCTCCCCACCACCACGACCTGAGCCCTTCCACGCCTCCAAACCATCGGACACCAGTCCTCCTGTCACACCTGTCTGCTATTACGTCAATGGAGAGAAAATTTGTTCAACATTTGATGACGATGATGAAAGTTAGTTTGAAATTTAATATACAAGTGTTTATATTTTACTCAAATAAAGTGTACTGTTTGTAAATAATTATGCTGCTTTATGGAGTGTTGTTATGTTTCCAATGATATTTTGCACTTGTTTACCGGCATTTTAATGATTTGGTATGTTTTAGCACTACATTGCTTGTAAATTGTAAAAATGAAATTCTATTCAATTTAAGGAATTGAAGAATTGATGCGTTATTATATTGTCAATATTTTAATATAATATTGTCAATGTACTGATATTTACGTCATCTAACATCATTAATATTAGTATTTACAAATATTTATGAGACATACGGTCACTTCAGCCATTGTCATAATCACTATGAACATAAAAAAATGTAAAATGTTACTCCAGTTTTGGTGGCTGATGCGGTGGAGTACAAATTTGACCCCGCAAGCAGGCCAATTATCATCTCTCTTCTCGTTGCCATCTTTGGACTGGTTATTGCCATCATCATCGTTCTCATCGCCATTGTAAGTATTTTTGTGTGTGTATGACTTTTTGTAAACATGTTGATGGTGATGTTGCCAGTTTATGAAAGTCATAATTTTGTTACAATATGAAAGCTAGATTCTTTAAACTGTAATATTGATGCTATATTTACTTTTACAGATTAGAAAACGCTGCTGCTCCGCTAAAAGACGACCCGTTTTGACCAATTTTGCTCCTCTCACACTTGATCCTGTATGTTTCTAATTTCTCTTTTTCCTTTATTTCAAATTTAACATTGTGTTCCATTGTTTACAGCGTTTTGGCTGATTTTTTTTTATAAATTTCGATGCCAAACCGTTTCTCCCATTTGATAATTCCAACTTTAATATAATTTTCTCGCTTGATGATTTTTATTACTGAATTTTTAAGTTTTAAAGACATTCTCATTATGAATAATTTCTTATTCCACGTCAAGGAGGCATTCGTGCGTCACAAACCCAGTGGTGAATCAGCAATCCTGGTTGACGATGACGTCCTCAACCATAAAAATGATGATACCATGGCCTAAGCTGCTGTGCGTATATGCATCCAGCTAACCATCATTCATTTGTGATGATGAAGGACATGTAATGATGAGATGGTGTGATGAAGATACAATATTATTGAAACTTTACAAACATTTTATACTCATGTATCTTTGTTCTATGAATTGCTACATTTGAGATAGATTTTGTTTTTGATTTAAAATCTGTCAATACTCATTTTGTATTTGCGGGACGTCGGTTTCTTCTGCAGTTTATTCAAGTTAAAAATTTTAAACAAATTTATTTAATGTAAAAAAAAATTGTATGCTTACAACTAACTATCCAATCAATGTTAATATAAATTTGTTTTTATCATTAATATTCTCATTCAATCAAATTAATATACTTGTGTATCAAGTTGTTATAAACATCTTTGTACTGGAGGCTTTCAATATATCATCGTTGTATAGAAAAATTTTTATGAAACTCTTCCCAAATATGCGTCGATACATTTTATGCCTGATTTGTTTTCATCCTTTTGAATGTTTAATCGTTTGCATATGCAGTGAAAGCATTCTTTCTATTAATATAATTTTTTACATGGGATGCAAAATAATTATTCAGATTTTTATTTTTAAATGCTTAACAGCGATTATGTTTATAATTTTTAATAAATTGAATTGATGTTACGCTGGTGTATGTTGAAGGGTTTCACCCACTTCCACAATTTTGTTGTTATGCATACGCAGGGACTTTTAGTAATAGCATTAGTCTGATGGAATCATGGTTTTGTGTTGTCAAACGCGCTTAACACAGCTTAAAATTAATTATGTGATGAGTTGCAAAATTTGAGGTGAAATAGCTTTCAACAATCACTGCCCGAGCTCTGGGAAAGTTAGGTTTGCAAACTAAACGACAGCGCAGGGTAACGTTTTGTGAGTTATGAACGTTATACAATTTTTTTTGTTTGAAAACGTCTTTCCTAAAAAGAAACTTGTTTGATAAAATTAAGACAAAAACAGAAATAACGATGAAATGTAACAAGTGTTGAAAATTCATTTAGACAGGTTTATATTCCAGTTTGGTTTCCAGTTTTTTGTTGTCTGCTATTTTACGAACGCCTTTGAAAAAGTCTTCTTCAATGACAAAATCTCTTTCAGCTCTGATTGCAAACATGCCTGTAGGAAAAATTGTGATCCGAATTGTTTACATAGATTAATAGTTAATGTCACATTATATCAATAATATTCTATGCGTATCTTGTAATGCAAAGTATGAATGATTTCAGCTACTCTAGTTTGTATTTTATTTTTGACATTTTTCTTTCAATGATTTTATCTACGGGTCCTGTGACAAATCATTTCCATTAATTTAGAAACATTTAAAACATCAAGCTTACCAGCTTCAGTGCAAACATTCCTCAAGTCAGCCCCATTGAAATCATCTGATAGCTTCACTATTGCTTCCCAATCTAGTAGAACAGTTCAAGCACTTATTTCAAAAACTTAATCAAAGCATCACAAAATAATTGAAAAATCCAAGTAAAATTTAATGATAAAATAAAATCAGTGAATCATCATGAAACATGAACAAATAAGTCATCTAAAAAGTTTCAAATGAAGCCAACCAATTTCTCCATGTTTAGCAATTGGTCCAGCATGTATCTTCAAAATTTCAAGCCTTGCTTGCTCATTTGGAAGAGGAATTTCTTAGTGATGATATAAAAAATGAATGTGAACCCAACATTTGAATTTAAAGAAGCCATCAGTAAATAATACACTGACCATTTCTAAAATTCAATGAAAAAACCAACCGATTTTTCTATCCAGTCTACCAGGTCTGAGTAGAGCAGGGTCCAAAGTATCAGGTCGATTGGTAGCCATGATGATCTTCACCTGACCTAAGGCATCAAAACCATCCATCTGGTTTAAAAGCTGTCATAAAAAACGAAACGTTCATTAAAAATTAAAACAATTTAATGTAACTATTAAAAAAAAGTTGTTAATAAAAGTGTTCACACTAAAAAATTGAACCTAACAACAGCAAAAAATATTGAATGAACAGAAATAAGTTGTAAAGTTACGCATGCTTGCCTCCATGAGAGTTCTCTGGATTTCTCTATCAGCTGATGTTCCTTCAGAAAATCTTCTACCACCTTGAGCGAATTCAAAATATAAAATGTCACAATGTCAAACATTTAGCTATTCTAATTATTAAAAAAAAGCAAGAATACTAGGAAGAGTAAGATGAACAAACATTACAGACCAATAGCATCAATTTCATCCATGAAGATGATGCATGGCTGGTGATCCCTTCCATAACCAAACATCTCTCTGATCAACCTTGCACTCTCACCAATGTATTTGTCTACTATGGCACTCGACACAACCTGTAAAAAATTATTTTCTATTATATATTTAAAGTTTAAAATTAAGAAGGTTATGATGGACAAAGGTAAGAAAATTACCTTAAGGAAGTTGGCATCTAACTGTGAAGCAACAGCTCGTGCCAGCAATGTTTTTCCGGTACCAGGAGGTCCAAACAACAGGCAACCCTTTGGTGGAGTAATGCCAACTCTTTGGAATAACTCAGGATTCATCAAAGGTAGTTCAATGACCTGCAAGTAGTAAGCAGTTAAACATAGTGAATAAGTCATATTAACACAAAGTCAAGTATGATAAAATATGCCAACAGACCTCTCTTAATTCTCTAATCTGCTCTGAGAGTCCACCTATCTGTGAGTAGCTGATGTTGCCTGGATCCTCAGTTGACATGTTGTACACAAGGGGATCAACTTCTCTAGGCAGGTATCTGAATACGTTCAATGCATAATTTTTAAGTTAAAAAAACCAAATGTAACTACTCAATTTTATTAAATGCTAGTTCCAAGTGAGTTTATATGCTTAAATAAAAAATAATACAACTATTTGAATAAAATTCTGATCCAAAAGTCTAGCTTTTAAATAAACAAAGGTACAAAATATTATAAATATTATCTATTATTGAATTGAATTTGAATATTATGTGAATATGATAAATATCAGTTCCAACAATTTAAAGTACATGCTAACAGATAATATAACACTTACATCCTTAAATGTATTGAAAATTAAAAAATACAGAGCCTACCATATAAAATCTTATTTAGTAATTAATAACATCTATATACATTATATAAGCCATATAAAATTTTAAATTAACCATATGATAATGATGTTGACAATGTGAACATGCATGTATCACATTTAATTCAAGCATGTTTAAAAATTTGTGCATCAGCATAGAAAACCTCATGATTGTAAGAGTAGTCATATCGAGAGCAACTCTAGTGCCAGGTTTAAGTTTAGTTTTATCCAACTGCCTTCTACATCCAACCACATACCTGGGTCCATTTGTAGCTTTTACAATAACTAAATAGGTAATTAAAATGTAGCATAATGTCATAATTTTATCAGCAAACAAGTTTAGTGCAATAATTTATATTGTATGTGTATGTAAATTTATTATATAACATAACATTTTCAAATTAAATATAAATATATATTGTAGTAAATTACATTAGTTTTACTAACATTTATCTTCTGTTAATTGCTTCAAAACTTCACCAACAATCTAAAATTTAAGTTAAACTGTTAAGCCTAAATTTTAAATTTTATTTTAATTTAACAATATCATAATTTTAAATTTAAGATAGATATAGATAGATAAAATAATAAAATTATTTTTATTTTTATGTAAATCTTTTATAATAAATGAAGTGTAGGTAAAGAAAATGAAAAACACTAAAAAACAAAGACAAACTGACAGACACAAGAAATGAAAATTTAACCTGTCCAACACTTTGTAGTGCCTTCAGATCATTTTCTGATTTGTCATATTGTTTCGTCAATTCTTTTAATTGCTCTCTCACTATCAAAAAAATAAGTCATATTATTTGTATTATAAATATTATTTAAATTCTCACCCAGCTATCCATTCAAACAACAAAAAGAAAATTTACATTACAAACAAACCAATGGCAAGTGTATGCATGACTCAGCATATAAAAAACGTTCAAAAACTCGTCTAACAAACTTTCTTTCAAGCGGGCTTCCAACTCCTTATGATCTAGAAGCTTTTTACGATAATCCTGCAAAATTTTATCCCTAACTGAATTGTCCGTGGACATGGGAGTCGCAACGCTGGCAGCCATTTTTTACAAATCTATCGTTAAAATTTCCCAAAGATATATAACTATCGATGTTTATCAAATTTGCTCAACACAGACAAAACAAAAAAATAATGGTTTTTTAGCATATAGAAAATTTGAAATTCGATTTACAATATACATGGATCAATTTAAACTATTTGGTTATTTTTTGAAATTTTGTATATAAAATTGTTATATATAGTTTGTAAACTTCTAATTCTATTAGCTTTTGTATTTGTTAAACCGTTTACCAAAGTTTAAAAACAAGTGCAAATTTAATAAACTCCAGTACTTATTTGGCCACTGATTTACAAATTTAACAATTTTAATTAAAAGTTTACTTTTTGTGATATCCTATATGCAATTTGTGTATATACGTGTAGTTTGTAAACTTTTGACTTTATTAGTTTTTGTATTTATTAAATTGCTTTTCTAATGTTGAAAACTGCATGACTTCAATCAAACCATGTAGTGTGAAAACTGCTAGCTTGATAAGATTAGGATAGTTCAGGTTACATTTTTGATGGTTCATCCAGAAACATTGTGAAATGTTTACTTACGCAATGTAAAAGCAGCTTCATAGCTTGCTCAACGTCATTGTAAAAAAAGAAAAAAAATTCTTTCACAAACTGAGAGCATTCGCTTGTTTGTACATCAAGTTTCGTTCGCGAAAAAAATCTCAAGGGCCGGATTAGCCAAGGTCGTTTCCCAGCTAATGCTTTCATAATTATGATTTCGGCACTAGATTCCAACGGGAATATATCTTTTTCTACAAGACGTATTTGGAAAAAAGCTATTTGGAGAGATTGTATTAAGTGGTAGCATATATATATATATATATATATATATATATATATATATATATATATATATATATATAACATCTTCATAAATATTAAATAAAAAAATAAATTGCTTCTTCGAGTTCCTCATCGTCGTTAATTTTGTGCTTGTTGTTTTAACCGATGTTATTTCAATTATTATATTAGAAATTGTTTAAAATGAAAGATGTCTTCTCAGCAGATTATCTGCTGTTTGATTATATGATATCTTCTAATTTTAAACACGAGATTAAAACGGCCGATTTAGGTTGTCTTTTCGCGGGTGCGGTGCGTATGAGGGCGGTTGC